TGTGGATCTACAAAATTCAACCCCCCTCTGTCTCTCTCTTGGAATTATAATAATGACACGCGGCATTCGGGAAAATTCAAGTCCGCGACGCCCTCCCCAGAAAGTCTCCCTCCGGCCCATGCCTACTTCAGGACATTCTCATACTCAAGGAATTATTTTTGGGCGTGAATTTAATCGATCAAATTCATCGAATTGATTTATGTCATTGTCACGTCGCTTTTAATAATTATATTATGCCAACAAGCATGTTGAAGAGGAGAGAGGGGAGGGGGGATTGATAAATTATGGAATTTAAGGGTAATCCGGGTAATGAATATTGATTTTTGACCAGTGTTTCTAGAAGGGGGGGGGGCAGCAGTCCAATACCCCCTATGAGTAAAAATCAGGGTGCTTCGGGTGCTGGGTGTCCCCTGATTTTATCAATTTTTATACTTTTCTATTCTATGTGCAAATTGAAAATGAATGTCAAAAATTAAATTTTTATAAAAGTTTATCTTTATAATTGTAAATTAAATATATAAGATGAGGGCTTGTTGTTTTTATAACCTAACAAACTAAGCTGAATTTGTTAATTTACTTAATAATACTGATAGTAACAGAATTGATCCGCTTTATGGCGCCAAATTTAATTCACTTTGGCCATACAGCACGGTGAATATTTATAAAGGAGCAACAGTTCAACAGATCATGCATATATTAAATATAGAGGAATTTAAAGAAGCTGTCAGGAGTCTATGCATCCTTGATGAAACCTGGAGCAGCTTTGCTGTTGCAACCTTGCCGTTTCCTCCAAAACTAGTCAAGATTGATGCTGAAACTAGTCCAGTCAGACTATATCCAGATTCTTATAGATCTCACAACTAGTATTAGAGAACTGAACAGAGCAGATGCGTATCCCATGAAACCCAAGGATATGCTCCACCTAAACGACCATCTCAGACTCATGATGGGTAAATTCTCGGTGGAATACTTCAAAGTGATCTACAAAATCACTGAGTGCAATGCAAAGAGCAAGAACGATGCTATAGCTCTAAGATCAACCTAGAGAAATAAACTTATCTATAATATAACGAAAATAATAACGAAAAGTCAAACTTATATAATTTCTAATGCATTTATTTCTTCTCCTGTTTATTGAACGAAAAGTCCATTTTTAACAATAGAAATATTTAAAATTTATAACCAAAGTCTAATGCCAATTTTCATACTGTTATAAATTACAAATTAAACTCTTCCGGTGCCAGTCTATCTTGTAATAATCTGTTGATATTAAATACTCTTCAAGTGTCTATATCCTTAAAGATTGAACTGAATCTCATAATTATAAACTTCCAATATTTACAAGGTTGATTTTGTTTTTTTTTGTTGCACTTCTCCTTGATGAAAGGAGATTAAAAAAACACACGGATCTGCATTGTTTTTCTTGTTTCCTTTTGTTTTTTAGTTTTTTTTATCTACATTTTGTTTCTCACTTGTATTTAATAGTAATGTACGAAAAGTACTTTACAAAGGCAAATTTTAGTGTCATGTTTGCTGCTCAATACAAGTTTATTTATTCACAACGGAGCTGTCGATATCAAAGATCTCAAATTTTATATATTCCTAATCAAGTAGAGAGTATACATGACAGCGAAAAGCCACTTGTTAACCCAGTATTTTTTTTTTTTTTGATAATTCATGTATAAAGGTATTAACGTTGTTTTTTAATAAAAGTTTGAAGAAGAATATTTTTAATTATATACAACCAAAAATGTTCCCAAAAAATAACCATCAAACAGCTGTGCATGTATAACTATAAGCAAGTATAATGCACTAAATGCTAAGATATACATGCAATTGATCAAATCTCTAAACAATGTTATTTTTTATCAGAAGAATAACAAGAAACTTCTAATGCAGATTTATTATGTTAACTCTTACTCCAACCCTTTAGGGGTCCTAGGAGTAATCCAAAAACGTAACTAAAAAAGTTATGTTACCAACCAAAAATAATCAAACTTTAAGAAAAAGTTATAAACATGTTGTATAAATAATATAATGGGACCACAGGTTTTACGTTAGTTTGCATTTTACTTCCTCAGGCAATCTACATTCTACATTCTATCTGATCAAGTATTGCATTAAAAATCCATGTTTCCCGTTTTGAAAATTGAATATTTTTATTTGTAGTTTCTCTACAAAAGTGACTCGCGCATTTCTTGCTTCAGAAACGATGGAGAATTGAAGGTTTTAAAGGTACATTGGACCTGCCACTCTATAAATGGAAGGTCACTTGAAATTATGCATGAATTCCATTTAATATAAATACATTGTATAGAAAAAATCCTTTAAAATCTCACTTTTGCCTCTTAACTAAAAAAGTTTCATTAAAAAAGCTTTAATAAGCCCCCCCCTAACCAAATGTCTAGTTGCGCGCCTGGTCACGGCTGAACTGATCGGGCTCAAATTTTATGTGCATGACCTCATATACCCCATGGAAGGTTTATAGATGCTTAAAATTACGAAAAACGATGTCAAAAAGTTTTTTATTTTTGTTAAATTTTGAAATACGCGAAAAATATTATTAATTCGGCAAATTTTTGTTGCTATATTGTTTTATTTTGTATTAAAGAGAAGAAGTTGAAATAGAAAATCATATATATACGCCATGTATATACTTTGCTTGCCTGCCGCCTGGGTGTCTGTTTGAATACCAATAAACATCAAAACTGCTGAACTGATCGGGTCCAATCTATTGTGGCAACTCACGTGACAACAGGGAAAGTTTATGACTGGTAAAAGTAGAAAATTTGACCGAAAAATATGTTATCTTTGAAAATGCACCAATTTATACATACTCAGAAAAATCCTCGAAAATTTGAGAAAGATTACAAATGGCCACTTTAGGTCTTCGAGCAGCAGTAAAAATTAAAAAATTGTTTTTTGAACAGAGGGCGCGAAGCTCCCTAAAAGCCTAGTTTCTAAATATTTCAAATGAGCCGCTTGAATCCTATACAGTAGAGGTGAGATCTAATCATTTAGTTTCAAAAGAAATCAAATTAAACCTTTCAGTTCCATTCACTTAGTACAGATTAACTGAAGCAAAAACTATTGCTTTTTCTCAATAGAAAGAAGATATTTAAGAATAAAAAAAAGAATATAAAAAAGATCTAATTAATTTTCTTTTATTCTATGGAAATTGTATTTTTTTTTGTATATTTTCTTCCGAAAAACTCCTTAAATATTATTTTTCCATGGCTAAACATCTGATTGGTCATTTTAAACTTTGTGAGCGATTTAAAGCGATCTTCTCAATATTATTTTGTTTAATAAAAAATTGTTACACACACCTACATCTATTTGAACTAGTACAAAATATTACATACTTTTTACATATATAATTTACACAAATAATCAAAAAATCAAAATCAAAAAAAATCGGGAACAAACATTCTGTTAAAACATGATGCAATATTTTATATTTACATCTTGTCTGCTTTTTTATGGCTTATCAGCGGGAAAAAAAACTAAATCAAGATTGTCCTAATTTTGTGTCAGACCTGACTTAGTCTGGCAAGGAATAAAAAAATACCTCGTGGAAATACTTATTAATCAAACAGATGGTTAATTCAGATTTTTAGTTTTTCTAAAATCTGTTTTCCCTTAACATTTTATGAAATTTATTCAAGGGTGTGTTGGTGTAATTTCAACTGACCCCTTATTTAAAGTGTTGCATGAAGTCAAGAATTATAAGATTTTAGATAGAACAATAAACCCCAATTAACCTTTCGGTGTGTACTGCACTGATTTGCAGTACACTGACCGAAGAAATAGTGGGATTTAGTGGAGTGTGAACAAGAAATTACGTCGAAGGCAACTTCAAAACAATTTCCAAGTAGACTAATTGTAAAAATCAACGTGACCGAACTTAAAGAATTGGAGAGAGGTCGCTGAACTTTCTAACGCTGGTTCAAATCCTGAAATACTGGTTAAATTTTAAAAATTCATGAGGATTTGAATTGGTGATTCAATAATTGAACCAATGGTAAGTAGTTAAGCGACCTCTCCTATTCTTTAAATTCGGTTCCAGACCTATAGTTCAGGCTTGGTCAAAGAGGTGTAATTGACATTCTTCAAAAACTAAATTTTATGTGATTTTAATGTCAAACATTTTTAAATACAATAAAAGGATTCTTCACTCTTCACAAATATTTGAAAACATGCAGAAAATAAAAATATTTAATTGCATGAAAAAATATATTAGGAACACTAGACGGTATCTCTTATCAAAGATCAATTTATCTTAAAGTAAAGGAAACTTAAAAATCAACTAAAGGAACCATGAACACCTGCCACAAACTCCGATGTTGTATCATATTTGAAATTAAATCTGTTAATTCAAATATTCTAACTTTGAAATATCAAAATATGTAATCGTATGGTTGCAAACATCTAGGGATTAGAAAATATCGCTTGGTGGTAAAGACTCAATACAATGAAATTTTGATCGAATATCTCAGGCAACTGTCTAGTATAGTGTTCCAAATTTAAAAATAAAAAAAGTGATGAAAGTGTAGGGATTAAAAAATAATCGTTTGAGGGGAGTGTTCAGGGCTGGGAACTTTAGAATGGGATATGCTTAATCTGAATTACCTATGTGGACACTTATAATTTCCTGCTTAATCTGTTTTATGGATATCACTACTAAATTCCGGCTAATGAGAGTTCTCTGATCAAATGGCGCGTAAAATTTTAAAAGGCAGCTGTTAAGTAAATATCTTTCATGCTAGATATGCAGGGCGGTCCGCGTCAATGATCTATCTATAACTATCTGATATGTGGGTTTCTAGCAAAATATATTGGTAAGTTGACCCGGATCTGTGAGCAGTAAAATTGGCAATCATGTGCATTGAACAGTCCCTTTAAAGAGATTGTAAGCGTAAATTCAATTGATCCTCCATGCAATGAGGGGACATCCCGATTCACAACGGCACCCTTAAAACCTTTTTTTGTTCGTTGTGTACAGAAATATGTGTGTGTGGTGATTAAAACAGGAAACACTTCGAAAAATGCTCCGTCGCAGAATTTCTTCTGGGGTAATTAGTCACTTCAGCCTTCCTAGCTATGTACAATGTACATCATTGAAATCATCTCTGGATTGTTCAGCAGATCGACCCATCCTAGCATCCCGGAACAAAACTCTTTGGCTTTTAACCTTAGGAGATTTTATTGGAAGGCTGCTTAAAAAACCCACGGTTGTTGCTCTCTGTATTATAATTACCAAGAATTGCAATCCTATAGTCTGTCAGCTTTAATTAGCAGTGTAAATTTACAATCTTCAGCCAATTATAAATATTCATGGACAATTAATGAATCATTAGATTTCTTTAAGCTTGTTTTTTCCTTATATAAGTTTTAAGTACACGAAGAACATACAAGGCTTTAAATCGGGCTTTCCCCTCTTTGAATGGAGGGTCCCTTGAAATTACGCGTACAGTCCCTTTAAATAATAAAATGAAAATAATGGTGAAAAAGGTGATGGTATTAATTGAAAAGTTGGATATCTAGTTTTATTGTGAGAACTCCAGATTCCGCTTCTAACAGCTTGACAGTTCTAAACAAAACAACAATACATAAAAAGAGTTTAAAGGAATTCAAGTCTAATTGTCACAAATGCAAATTTTCTAATTCTAAAAGGTTTAAACTTAGACTTCTGTTAAAAAAGAAAGAAGCTTATGTAAAAATTGTTACTTAGAAAGAGGTTTCAAGGGGTCCGTTGTGAATCGGACATGAAAATGATTACCTTGAGATAGGTCCCATCTTTGTTTTACACTCCTCCGCAATATCTCCAATCCTTAGTTCTGCTCTGCCAAGGAACTCTAAACAATTCGTTTCAACTTTATGTAGTTGTCCAATACTTTATAATGGGGGGGAGACATATTTTCTTGGGTAAACTTTCAGAATATCCCAACCCCCACTCTCCTTTAGAAATTTTGGATATTGTATTTCTGTGCAGAAATTTGTTTGTAAAATTTAATAAATATTTCCAAACTGGGCAAACCCCCCAACCCCCTCCCTCCTTTAGAAATTTTGGATATTGTATTTCTGTGAAGAAATTTGTTTGTAAAATTTAATAAATATTTCCAATTTTTAATATATGTAATAAATATCCCCGAGTACTATATCAGGGAAACCTGATACCTTATCTATATTCCTTCTGATAACTGTTATCATCATTTTTTGCATACTTCGTAACCAAATAAAAGATTAACTTTATCGTTCATGAACCTTATAAATATAAATATGTACTAGTTGGGTGCCCGCTACGCCGGTCACCCTATTTGACCTGTAACCTTATTTTCAATAAATAGTTGGTTAATTGTAAAATCTAGCGTTGAATAGACCTGGCTTAAACCCTAGGTAGAGAAGACAGAAATACAGTGCGTTTTCTGTAGACTGGCATTTTGTGACATATATAAGAAAAACGCTTGATATAGTGCCACATAACTTTCTTACAAAAAAAACCTTTAAAATATCAAAAATCTTGTTGAATTTTGTGAAACTTGATTATAAAACTTATTTAACAGGATGACATAGGGAATATAGATATAAACTTTACTATTTCAGCTTTATACTGTTGCTCTCCAATCTCTCTCAATTTTTTGCGGATTTAGTAGTCTTAATTGGCTCATTTTCAAACATATCGACATCTTTTTCCGGGCAAAATTTCTCATTTTTGACAATCCATAAACCTTCCCTGTAGGGGATATGAGAATTGCATTTTGGATACTGGCTGACAGACAGACAGACAAACAAGCCAAATGTATATAAAGATAATAACAAATAAATTTTTTTTGAAACTTACCATTAGGAGCAAAATAGTCCCTGTCATAAACTGTTAAGCACAGAATTTCCTCTTGAATATCTCGCAAAAGAAACTGCATACTAGTGTTCCAATGTGGGCTTGTTGTTCCTGAAATATATATTTAGAAGGAACTGTATTCTAGTGTTCCAATGTGGGCTTGTTGTTCCTGAAATATATATATTTAGAAGGAACTGTATTCTAGTGTTCCAATGTGGGCTTGTTGTTCCTGAAATATATATATTTAGAAGGAACTGTATTCTAGTGTTCCAATGTGGGCTTGTTGTTCCTGAAATATATATATTTAGAAGGAACTGTATTCTAGTGTTCCAATGTGGGCTTGTTGTTCCTGAAATATATATATTTAGAAGGAACTGTATTCTAGTGTTCCAATGTGGGCTTGTTGTTCCTGAAATATATATATTTAGAAGGAACTGTATTCTAGTGTTCCAATGTGGGCTTGTTGTTCCTGAAATATATATATTTAGAAGGAACTGTATTCTAGTGTTCCAATGTGGGCTTGTTGTTCCTGAAATATATATATTTAGAAGGAACTGTATTCTAGTGTTCCAATGTGGGCTTGTTGTTCCTGAAATATATATATTTAGAAGGAACTGTATTCTAGTGTTCCAATGTGGGCTTGTTGTTCCTGAAATATATATATTTAGAAGGAACTGTATTCTAGTGTTCCAATGTGGGCTTGTTGTTCCTGAAATATATATATTTAGAAGGAACTGTATTCTAGTGTTCCAATGTGGGCTTGTTGTTCCTGAAATATATATATTTAGAAGGAACTGTATTCTAGTGTTCCAATGTGGGCTTGTTGTTCCTGAAATATATATATTTAGAAGGAACTGTATACTAGTGTTCCAATGTGGACTTGCTGCTCCTGAAATATATATTTAGAAGGAACTGTATACTAGTGTTCCAATGTGGGTTTTTTGTTTTAAATAATTATAAATTTAGAAGGAACTGCATACTAGTGTTCCAATGTGGGCTTGTTTTTCCTTAACGAATTATATATTTAGAAGGAACTACATACTAGTGTTCCAATGTGGGCTTTTTGTTTTAAAAAATTATATATTTAGAAGGAACTGCATACTTGTGTTCCAATGTGGGCTTTTTGTTTTAAATAATTATGTATTTAGAAGGAACTGTATACTAGTGTTCCAATGTGGGCTTGTTGTTCCTTAAATAATTATATATTTAGAAGGAACTGTATACTAGTGTTCCAATGTGGGCTTTCTGTTTTAAATAATTATATATTTAGAAGGAACTGTATACTAGTGTTCCAATGTGGGTTTTTTGTTTTAAATAATTATATATTTAGAAGGAACTGCATACTAGTGTTCCAAATGAGAACCATACGTATTATACGTACAGTAGAGGATACCTGAGCCCAAAACTTAAGACAGGGTATCGTTATGAAAACCAGTTTTGGAACCCGGGTTTCACAAATGGGTTTACCCAGTTTTGTAGATATCGATATTTTTGTTTTGAAATATTATTTTATTTAGGTTCTTCATATTCTCCATTTTTTTTGAATCTCTTCAATCAAAATCTACACAAATGTTTAGACCCCAAAAAAGGAAACTCGGGAGTTTCGTTCAACGATACTCTTTTAAATTTCAGGCTCTGAGAGTTTATGTACTATTGTACTGTAAGTGTAGGTTACTGTATAGGAATTATTGTTGAGTATAGGTTACCTAAGGGCTGAGCCCGAAATTTAAAAGAGTATCGTAGAACGAAACTCCCGAGTTTCCTTTTTGGGGTCTTAACAATTGTGTAGATTTTGATTATAGCGGTTAAAAAAATGGAGTATATGAAGAAATTAAGTAAAAGATATTTCATAACAAAATATTGATATCCACAAAACTACCTAACCCCATTCTTGAAACCCGGGTTTCAAAACTGGTTTTCATAACGATACCCTGTCTCTGTCTGAAGTTTTGGGCTCTGAGAGCCGTATTGTACAGTACAGGGTACCTGCGAGCCTACGTATTGTACACGGTGTAGTACAGGTTCCCTAGCTGAGAGCCTATGTAGTGTACACAGCGTACTGCAGTATATGGTACCTGAGAGAACCGGAGTTTTCTGCTCCTGATATCCAATAGTTGCTTCACAGTAAGGATCGATATTTCCTATAATATTAATATATAGTTGATTGATTGTCGTCTTTGCTCTTTTATTTGATTTAAATGCCGCACAGAATTCTGTATTTTGTAAAAGTTTTAACTAAAAAATGTGGAAAGTCGAAACTTTTATACCTTAAACCTGTGGCTTAGCGCTAAGAAGATTTATTTCCCAATTTGATTTCTCATATGCCGAAAATGGATACTTTCCCAGATTTTACAGTTCAATTTAAAACTTTGTGCAGTGCAGATAGTATTATCGAGTATTGATCCCTTTGGACACATTTTCAGAATGCTTTATTTCAAATGTTTTTCATTTCAAGAATGCCATGAATGATCCACAAAGCTAAATAACTAAAAAAACTGTGAGGTTTTGAATTCAAATTATTTCTAAAGTTAAAACAAGAATCTATTGGATTATTCTAATTCTAAATAGAAAAAACAATATAGCTCATATTTCTGCCGGCCTTTTAGAAATATGATGTGCATTTTTTGAGGCACTACATATTGCATGGTAAGTAATAGTTTGTAAAACAATATTTTGACATAAACAATAATTAAGCTGATAGTTTTTATGTATCAAATTAGAACTTTAACATAACCTCTTTTATTATTTATAAAAAATATTGTTTTAACATAAAAATTTACTCAATGATGTTTAATGAAAAAAAACATGCAAAGACGAAAAATTACATTACACATCCGTGCAAAAGACAAACAAACAATTAACCATCATTCCGTCAATCAGGGCTGAGAGCCTCTGTAAAAAATAACTACAAATACGATAGACAGTATACCCTAGGTCACATGAACATAAAAGTGTTTTACGGTATAAAGAAAAAATATATTTCATTTAAAAAATATTCGGATTAAAAAACTTTTGTCTTGTTAACTCTCGGGGCTTGAAGTAGGTTTTGAAAAAGTGAAAACTCGTTGAGAAATTGATGCGTTAACAATATTTTTCGGTCTCAGCAAAAGATGTTTTTGAAAATCAGCCAAAAAACTAGTTTTTTTGGAATTTTTTATGTCTGTGATTTGATTATCTATAAACGGATTATTAAGATTTAAATTGAGTGTTTAAACACGAATAAATATAGATTTAAAGTAATTTATACCACGGAATTTAGATATAGTTTCACCCTTTAAATTAATAATATTTGTTATTGTTTACCTTCAGGTTTTACATATAACAAATCCCGACAAAATAATTCCTTCTTTTGTTGTTTTTGATTTTTAACAAATATTTACGACATCAACATTAAATAATCAAGTATTTACAAGTTTCGGTTTCATAATCTAAAATATTATCATTATTATTAGTTTGATTAGCCTCATCCTTATCATTATTATAATAATAGCACTGAATTCATAAAAACTTTCATTCACTTTTTAAAGAAAATTATTGAGTCCAAAAAGGAAGACAAAATTTAAAAATTAAATTTTCATGCAATGTAATTTTTTCATATTGGGATGCATTAAAAACTGACTATATATATATATTGAAAGGTGTTATCACAATTTACTATCAATGTGGGAAACGGTTAATATGATTAAAGGGACTGTATAATTGATTTCAATAGGTGGGATATACAATCCACAACGTAGCCCTAAATGTAACTTCAATCTAAGTGACAATTAGAAAGATATCTATCTAAAAAACAGTTAATTCTGATAATTTCCTTTATTGTCTCCGACGCATAAATGCAATTGTTACTTAAAAAAACCGCGCGATTTAAAAATAAGAATACCTCCCTTATTAATCACCGTTGTGAATCTGATATGCCACTCTATAAATGAAGGGTTACTTAAATATCGTTTACAGTCCCTTTCAGAGGAACTTAATATTCCCGAGGATCTTTTAATGCACAGTCCATATGTACAATGTACAATCCATAGAGTAAAACAATACAGATATAACACTAGATGTCGTCTATTCAAGATTTGGGGGTTTTTTGTTCACAATAACCCTGAGGCAGAAGCCCAACGGAGTTCCGCGCAGGCAGCATCGAATTACAAAACAGAGAGGGAGCATGCGCGTAACTCCTTTGGGTCTCTGCCTCAGGGTTATTATGAACGAAAAAACTCCAAATCGTGAAAAGACGACATCTAGTTTTCTGTCTGTATTGTTATTAATCTATGGAACAATCCTTTACCTTTAAGTTTAGGGCATGCAAGATTGGAAGCAGATGAGATAACCAGGGTTATCTTTCCCTCAGGACTAGATTCGAGGCTAGCTACAACCAAAGGATTAGTTGAATTAAAAAAGAAAAAAGAAAAAAAAATAATTAAATAGTTTCTACGAAAGGGTAGTTGGAACAAAACAAAATTTTAGTTTCTTATCTTTATAACTTTTCTACCTTCGATATTTCAAACTTTTCCAATTTGATCTGGCAAAAATTCTTAATTTGAAATATCAAAGATATACGAAATCAGGTTGCAAACAATTCCAATAACTTTGCTACCTGATTATTAAAACATTTGATACTTCAAATCTTCACTACTTGATTTTTGTAAAGAATTAGCATTGTGTTACCTAATCTTTTTTTTAAAGAGATTTTTTTGTCCCCAGGACATGATCGGGTTGTTACGATCAAATCTCGGAATTTTTTCTATTGCGAAAGTTTGGTGTTTTTCTGGGTTTTTATATTGATCTACCAGGGGTTGTAATCTGGCAGCACATTCATCCATCCACGCTTCATTCATTCTGAGAAGAGGGTTGACAATATTCCAGCTGCCTAAGATTCTTCTTAGGCCTGAGAATATAGAGTGCAGGAATCCTTCTGATATACTGGAATGAGGCCCGGGTGCCGTACTGATAGGAAACATCACACTCATTGCTCCCTAACATCTGTAGGCCCGGATTGGATACCCCCAGGTACCTATAGCTGGCAACCATAGACTCTCCCTGCTTGTCCACCATTCCTCTCTTCATCGTCATTCACTTGGATCAATTCCACTTGAAGCTTCTTTCTTGTTGAGCAGAAAGCACGCACCCTTTCGCTGCGAGAGTTGTTGACAGCCGCCCCTCTGTCCTCCTACATCCGTCAGGTGGTCATAACTGCTAAACCAGATGACGGCTTCAGATGTTTTTGAAACCACAGGTTTGTGTGGAGTACGGGAATCGAACCCGTGAACACCAGCCTGGACACCAATCCAGTTACTGGCTGTGGACAAGTGTGCTTAACTTCAGTGATCTAACGAGAACTGGTGTCACACACTCTCCACCCCACCCCACAAAACCTAATCTTAATGATCAAAATAAAGTTACGTCTGCTAGAGTATATTTTATGTCAACGAATAAAGACTGTTTTGTTATATTGAAAAAGGTTGCTGTGTCTGTACTATATCTGTGAGAGTAACAGTGAGGAGAAAATACTGTACTGTGTTTATAAACGAATTTAGGATTTTTTAAAGTACTGCACAGTATGCAATAAAAACATTAACAAACAAATTCTGAACTCTAGCAGACGGATTAACTTTCCTTTTAGGCATCACCACACAAATCAAAAAAAACATTTAAAAAGACGATTTTAAAATCGTCACTGAATGTTTATTGGGACACCCTGTATGTATCTCATGTTTATTGTTTTTGTGTTATGTGCGAATATGTACAGTGTACACTGTACAGTACTGTACAACTAGGATAGGGAATGCATGCAAACTAAGCTAGTTATATATGTACAAAAAATGTTGAACAAAAAAGCAAAATAATTAAAAAGGAGGCCTCACGATTTTTTCTTTGAAGCCAGCCTATTAAAGAAATTTAAAAATTAAATTGACAAAAAATAACAATAAAAAATGATGAGTTAAAAAAAGCGATACGATAATCGACAAAAATAAGAATATCTACAGCTACCAAGCAACTACCATGCAACAACTTTGCAACCATCATGCAGCTACCATCATACGACTACCATGCACAGCTTACCCTCCCTCCCTCTCCTGCTGAGAAAGTCAGATTTAACAACTATTAAGAGAAGTCGTCCTTTAGCTTCACTCATTTCTACAGCTTGTACTGAACAATAAACAATGACCAATGACCAATGACCAATGACCAATGACCAATGAACAATGAACAATGAACAATGAACAATAAACAATAAACAATAAACAATAAACAATAAACAATGAACAATGAACAATGAACAATGGTTTATTAAAAACCCTTGTCGGAATATTTTTGTTTAACATTAAGAGTAATATCAATACCAAATATAATGATTTTGAGGATTAATAAAAAATATTAATAAAAATAAACAGATATTACAATTTTTCCTCAAAGTTTTTCTTTAACTTAACATTTCTGGCTTTTTTTTTGTTAGTCAGAAACTTGTTCAAATTCTTATTGCTTTTCGAAGTCTAAATATTTTTGGGTCAAAATACTGAGCTTATACATAGGATAGAGTTCTAAACATAGACCTTCATTGCAGCTGCAAACCTAAAGACACTTATTTCTTATTGATTTATTATTTCTGAGATTATAACATCAAAAGCCAAGTTTGTGTTTTCTAAACCGAAAACTTCTGATTTTGATTTATAAAATTTAATTTCTTTTCTTCAATTGCCTCTTTCTTCAAGAAAAAATCAGCAATATAATTTTATCTTAAAATTTTGTATTTTTAGGTTAAACTGTTTTCATCTTTACAGTACGTCCTTCTGATTAGGGCTGGGCAGTGATGGTCACGTTCTGACTTTGTTTAAGCCGTTTGTTAAAGTTTTTTTTGTTTAAACTAGCCAACAGTTACCAACTTTTCAGTAAGCCGTTTTTTCGTGGCTCAGAACTGAAATTTCGTCGTTAACGATATTTTCCGTTATTTCTTAAAGTTGCCGTTTGTGAACGATCTTGATTTTATTAACAGCGCTACAGGATCAGACGTTTTCGTAAAGTCTATTTCATATAAAAATAGCGATAAACATCAGAAGAAAACATTAAACAACACCAAAATACGTAAAAAGACATCAAAACCAACCATTTTTAAAATTTCTTTAAATCGCTTTTATTTTGAATACATCTTTTTTATTTATTTTCTTATTTTCGTTTGTTATCAATTTCAAAATTAACTGTTTTTGTCGTTGGTTGTCAGAATAATACGCTATATTTAAAAAAAAATGCCCAGCCCTACTTGTGATCTCTTTTTCATTCAAATATTGTCTTCTTTATAAAGATTTTTCACCAAATACACAGAAAACCCCGGCCATTTTTTAAAAAACAGAAGTATTTGCAAGATTAAATTTTATCGAACGAATCGAATTAACCTTCAGCTTTGTTTTGTTCAAAGTTATAAGTCATCATTTAACTTTCATCCTTGGTGTGTAATTTTGTTTTAACTCTTTACCTGTTTTCTGTTTGGATAAAAACTCTGATTCCTCTCTTCGAAAGTGTTTAATGCTTTCACTAAAGAAAAATAAAGAATATAATGATAAAAAATAAAATTCTTTTTACTATTTATATAATTTCATTGCACAATCTGTGCGTTAAATTCAATCTATTTGGAAATCTCAATAATCAATTTTTAGCTAGAAAAACAAGGATTTATTCATAATTTTTATTCAGACTACGGATACTTGAAATCTTGTCAAAACCATTATAAACGGTTTACAAGGATATCATTTCAAAGTTCATCAGAGAAAAGATGACAATAGATATCATCGTTTTTACTACTGTAATAAATACAGTGATAGTCGATTAAATCAATACAATGAAGACGACTTTTTATCAAGCTTTTTCGAATAATAAGTTTACAAGCAATTAAAGAGAAGCTTTTTTAATTGACAAGCTAATCTTTGTTTCCATGTTTTTGTGTGCTGTTCAAAAGTTTGATATAAATCAAAATTGAATTTGTCTTCATTATATAAACAACAACTAAGATGCTAATTGTTTCTTTAAAAAGAACTATTCTACTAATTCTGAGATTGTTAAATTACCTTATTTTATTTAACCACAAAGTTCTATCGTTGGTGGACAGTGCTTCTAGTCCAAGAACAAAATCTCCATATTTTAAAGAAAACCCTGAAATGAACAAATATCATTAAGATTATTAAAACTATTAAGATCATTAAAATCATTAAGATCATTAAAACTATTAAGATCATTAAAACTATTAAGATCATTAAGATCATTAAGATCATATATATCATAAAGACCATAAAGATCATAAAGATCATTACGAGCATTACGAGCATTACGATCATTTAGATTATCAAGATCGTTAAGATCATGACGATCGTTAAGATCATGAAGATCATTTAAATTATCAAGATGATTAAGATTAAAATTGTTGAATGGTGGAAGTGTTTAAACCACAATTGATTTTTTTTTCAAAATTAAAGACTTTGATATCTTATTCATAGTTGATCAGACAAAGCATTAAAGCGTACCATTGTGAATCGTCTAATGCCATCTTGTTCAGGTCACTTGCAATTACATGTACAGTCCGTTTAACGATAAAATAAATGTGAATAATGTAGTAAAAAAATAAAGAAGTTTAAATATTTTGTGGTTATGTAGACTTGACTGAAGTAACTTGACAGCCTGTTAAATTACAGCCAGCACAGAAAACAAACGTTTTTTCTTCTTTGCAGCATCATTTAGAGTTAAGACTAGATAATCTAATTTTGACAACCTAATGAATTGCTTGCATGATAGAGACCTGAGATTTGAGTATGACTGATTTAATGCCAAAATCTAAGTGTGACAAGCCTAATAAACTTCGTGTAATTTGTCATGCTCCCCCCCCCCCACCAACTTATTAAAATGGGTCAACCTGTAGCTGGATCCTGGTCCGAGGCTAGAGACTGTTTCCTGGTCCCTGGACCAACCTCTAGTCCACTCAAGAACAGAGGCTGATAAAATACAATACAATACAATACAATACAATACAATACAATACAATACAATACAATACAATACAATACAATACAATACAATACAATACAATACAATACAATACAATACAATACAATACAATACAATACAATACAATACAATACAATACAATACAATACAATACAATACAATACAATACAATACAATACAATACAATACAATACAATACAATACAATACAATACAATACAATACAATACAATACAATACAATACAATACAATACAATACAATACAATACAATACAATACAATACAATACAATACAATACAATACAATACAATACAATACAATACAATACAATACAATACAATACAATACAATACAATACAATACAATACAATACAATACAATACAATACAATNATCATGTTCATCATGTTCATCATGTTCATCATGTTCTTCATGTTTATCATGTTTTATGTTCATCATGTTCATCATGTTTATCATGTTCATCATGTTCATCATGTTCATCATGTTCATCATGTTCATCATGTTCATAATTTTCATCATGTTTATCATGTTCATTATGTTTATCATGTTTATCATGTTCATAATGGTCATCATGGTCATCATGGTCATCATGTTCATCATGTTCATCATGTTCATCATGTTCATCATGTTCATCATGTTCACCATGTTCATCATGTTCATCATGTTCTTCATGTTTATTATATTTTATGTTCATCATGTTCATCATGTTCATCATGTTCATCATGTTCATCATGTTCTTCATGTTTATCATGTTTTATGTTCATCATGTTCATCTCATGTTTATCACGTTCATCATGTTCATCATGTTCATCATGTTCATCATGTTCATCATGTTCATCATGTTCATCATGTTCATCATGTTCATCATGTTTATCATGTTTATCATGTTTATCATGTTCATCATGTTCTTCATGTTCATCATGTTTATCATGTTTATCATGTTCATCATGTTTACCATGTTTACCATGTTCATCATGTTCATCATGTTTATCAGAGGCTAATCACATTCGATATTTTTTCTTCTTTAAATTCTAAATTTTTTTTTCAAAGATTGATTTTTTTAATTCCACGGGCGCAACGCCGGGCACTTCAGCTAGTGTTCAATGTTCATACTGTTTATCCATGTTTTTTGTCAAGTTTATAATTTTCATAATGTTACATAAGCCTTATACCTGTTGTTAGAAGAAGAAAATCGTTGAACAAAAAACCTTTCATAAAAAACACAATTAAAATAAGAATTGAAAATTATTTTCAGAATTGAAATTTAGTTTATAAATTGAATCATTATTATCCGAAATTAATAAAAGGAGAGTTTTAGAAAATTATAATTATAATCAAACAATCCATTCAGCTTTACTGGGAACACATAAATGCCCTAATATTAAAAGAAATGGGATTGGTCAGACATTTCTAATGACTTCAGAGCTCCCAATTCTCTATTTCTTATTTTACTATTATTTTACTATTATTTTACTATTTCCTTCAGATTTCCTTCCAAATCTTTTTAGATTTATGTCGTTTGTGGTTTCAAAACCATATTATTTTTTCCAGCCATTTTTGTTGGATTAGACATTGAAATAGAATTCTTAGAATTCACTCACTCATAAATTATGCTTCCAACATTATCCAAAGTATTCCCTTTAGCACTTCTTTTTTTTATATCGTAAAAAAGCTTTCATAAAATAAAAATAAAAATAAGAATTTTACCAAAGAAATATCTATTCACAAAAAAAGTTTTTTTTATGAAAAATAGATAAGGATTTATCAACAAAAATATTTGTGTAATTTGAAATGAATAAAAAAATTAGGAACAATTGGTAAAATATGATAATAAGAATATTGGACAAAATATAATTTAATCGTAAAAGAATCGTAAAAAATATCGATTTTTATTAATCAATAATTGTGCCTATCAGTTCTTTATCAGATTTTTATTAATCAATAATTGTGCCTATCAGTTCTTTATCAGATTTTTATTAATCAATAATTGTGCCTATCAGTTCTTTATCAGATTTTTATTAATTAATAATTGTGCCTATCAGTTCTTTATCAGATTTTGTTTTATGCAGCAATCCACAGTGCAGAAACCTGCAAAACAAAAACATAATAAAAACAATTTCAAAGTGTAAAAGTTTTGATTTGATTTAGAATTGTTACTTTAGGTTTGGGGAATGGGAGGAGGGCATAATGAGAGTCTGATTTTATTTTCTATTGATTTTACCTCCTGGGACCTACAGAGTTAGTGAGAGAGTTGAAGGTGATCTTCTCCTGTATACTCTTCTCTTCATGATGGAGGTCCACGTGGATTTGCAACCATTCCAACCTCTCAGAGTTCTCCTTCTCCCTCATCCCTTCGTTTACCTGGATATATAGCATACACAGGATACCTTGAAAATCAGTATAAAGGAGAGGTGAGGGATAATTAAGTGACCCATCACTAAAAAAATTGCATGCGCAATGCCCATGATTCACTTTGGTACCCTAAACAGCTTTAGGGTTCCATTCTGATTTGTAGATTTCCCTTCCTCATAAAAGTACCTGTTCACAGAGTGCTTTAGCTCTATCCAAGGCCTCCTTGGTATAGTAGTAGTCAGGGTGGTTCAACGGGGTATTTTTCAATAGCTTTTCCACCAGGAGAGGGTATTCAGTTACACGCTTTACAGGCTTCAGGAGGTAGTAGGACAACTGCATACCCTAAACAATACATATTCACTAAGATCACTTATCCTTACATACTACATATATCCTTGTGAGACTGAAAAAATCTAGGCTAGTGGGACTCGATGAAGAGAGCGAAACCCACAATAATGAGTTCCAAACCTTGATTAATAAATTTTCCCTTATATTTCTATATTTAAGTTTAAATTACAGGACAGTGTGGTGCAGGACCGAGTAATATTTTCTAATTTGAAATTTGATAATGCCTGAATGAAACATCGAAAAAAGTTGATTTATTGTAAAACATGGAATAAAGTTGATTTAAATTTTAAAAAAATATTTTCCAGGCTTAAGAAAATTACCTCACTACGAGGATGAGCTTGGCATTGCTTGAGAAAAGTATTAAACTCAGTATTAGTCTCCACCAGCTTCTGTAGCAGGGTGCCAGAGTTCTGCTGGGAGGAACAGAACCTTATGTACGCCGTCATTGTCGGGAACTAAATATATATAATATTAGCTCAAGTGCCCATCGTTGCCCGTGTAATGATTTTAAAAATCCCATTTTTGAAGAAAAAAATCTAATTTGGAAAAAAAATTTGATTTTGGGGGAAAAAACTATTTTTTTTAGCCAATGTTACCCCCAAGATACCGATATGTTCCCTCAAAAAATGTCAGCCCATTCGGTCTAGCCGTTTGGCCAGCTATAGCTGACATATACATAAATATATGGGCGAAGAGCTTTATTAATTAATTAATTTTGAAAAGTCCTTATCAGTCTAAGTCGATAAGCCACTCGACCCCTCAGCCACTCTCTCTAAATACTGAGATGTGAGCGCTTAAGTGTGGAAAGAGTAATCGGCAAAATCCTGATCGATTTTTACATGAGAGCGTGCACATATTTTGGTTCAAAGTACTCAGCAAAAAAGTGGGAATACAAAATACAGCCTAATGAACTTAGATCTGTAAACTTACATTTTCACAAAGTATATCTGCTACCATAAAGTCCGAACCATTAGATCCACTTGACCCAGTGCTATAAAAGAAAGTATTGAAAAATAAAAATACTGAATGTTAAATCATACGATAGCCTTAAGTGACTGCAAGCACAAATTCAAGTGTCCCTCCATAAATACAATGGCATGTCGAATTTACAACGATACCCATAAACATTTTTGTCAAATCAAAAACTAATAAAATATCCGTGATATCTCGAAAAATTGGTTATGCTTAAAAGTTTTATCTCAATGAAATCAACTTCTGGATTTCTTGCGTTAGAAACATTGTGAGAATTAAACATTTTTCAGGCTAAAAAAACGAGGATATCTAGAACATTATTGATTTAAATCGTCCTGTTGTGAATCAGACATGCCTCTTTTTTCAAATAGAAGTTCACTTGAAATTAATTTCCCTTGACAGTACACGACATATATTAATTCAAAATCACTTTTTCAAACTAAACATATTCAACACTTTTTCCTTGAACATTTCTTTTTGATTTTGTAAATAAAAAATAATATAAAGATTAATATATCCCAAGATATCTAGAATGAAAGCTAGAAGTGATTTTTTTATTTGTTAAATAAAATGTGAAGTGTCCGAATTTAAAGAATTTGAGCCGCGTCTTAAATCCGCCTAAAACCGGTTTGCAATTGAGCGCCGGCTTAAATCTTGAAACATTGAATACAATTTTAAGTGAAAACAACTAAATTTGAGCCGCGGCTTAAATTTAAGCCGCAGCTCAAATTCTTTAAATTCGGCCTCGGGTTTGACATTTTTTATCATTATTATACTTAAAAATAGATTTCTCTTTTTATAAAAGTGGGTTTTGCATAACAAACAAACAAACATTTTGTAAATGCACCCAGCAAATAAAAGAGATAATTAAGAATTAATGATTTTACTTTCACATTTTATTGATAATAATGATAAAATAACGATAAAAAAAGAAATGTAAGAAAATTTTTATATTATTTTTTATTTACCTTTTTCTAATCCTAAGAGATTTGATGAGCTTGGTACTGGCAATTACTAGCTCTCTGTTAAAAACAGAGTTTTTAAAAAGAAAGTTTTTTCAACATGGTTAAAAGGCGGATGGGTACATGGGGGGTTTCCTCAATTTTGAAGGGTGTCAAAATAAATACAAGTAATTAATTTGAAAAGGTTAACTACACAAAAAAACTTCATAAAAAGACTGTACGGATAGCTTTCAGGCATATTTTCATTAATTATCATAACAAATTTTAATTTTACATTTCTAACATAAATCAAATTTATTCTTAGGTCAAATTTAAAAACGACTTTGGCTGTTCCTCCAATTGATGAAAAGAATATCAAACTCCTGTTTCGAGAGAAGATTGCTGTTTCGAATAGGCTTAATAAATACCTAAAATAATAATATCAAAATTATTTTCATTTATTGGTTTAAACGAACAGATATAAATTAAAAGTTGAAACAAAATTATTAACTAGAATTGTATATCCCTTTTTTCTTTGCATCCCGATGTCGTAGATCTTTGACATTTCAAACTATGAATTCTGTTAGATCAAATAGTATTTGTTTCAAATATGAAAGTTTACACCATCAGGTTGCAAAGAAAAGGGAATGAGAACATTTGAGTTTGTGGCAAAAATTTACTCATTAATCCATTAAAGAAGTGTCAGGTCCAATTTACAATAATACCCGCCATCTTTTTAGGATAAATAAATAGCCATCTTTTCAGGATAAATAAATAGCCATCATTTCAGGATAAATAAATAGCCATTGTATTTGTCTCGGAAACTTGACTATTATTAACTGTGGGTTCTCTATAAAATTAAATTGCAGATATCGCGATAATTCAATATTATTTTTAGAATAAAAAGCCAACAATATTTTCCACATTGTTACCTAAATTAAGAGTTATAATTAGAAGAGAACTATTCAATTCTTTAAATGACGGGTCACCCCTATAGTTTCAGTAGAAGTAAATATTTCCATTTAGTGTATAGCGCCGATATAAGGATTTATCTCATTTATCTCTAATTGGATAATGAGATAGATAGAAAGATAGATGTTACCTCCGAACCCTGATTGAATCAGGTGATAATGGACTCGGCATTGGCATTGGCATTGTCATTGACATTGGCATTGGCATTGCAATTAATCTTTAGTCAATAATGTTTTTACCTCGTGCACAGTTTTAATTGAGTCTAAATATCTTTCCTCTGTAGAAAATATTTCTGCAATCAGCTGATCTCGTTTCCGAATCACCACTGGGGCTAAACAAAATGTATTACTTAAACGGTGATCCGCAAAATAATCTGAGGCCGACTTTAAAGAATTTAAGTCGCGGCTTGAATTTGAGACCAGACGCGGCTCAAACATGGTTGCAGGTTCCTCTTAAAATTATATTCAATGTTTCAAGATTTAAGCCGGCGCTCAATTGAAACCAGTTTTTGGCGGATTTGAGACGCGGCTCAAATTTATTAAATTCGGGCTCTGGAATGTAAAAACCACAAATTTGCCAAAGAATTTGTTTGAACAGACAAGGCATGAAGCTTTAAAAATAATTCTATTATAAACTGAAGTAAACAAAGTTTAATTTGCGAAAATTAATATGATTCCTTGTTCCCCAGCCCTTAAAAACAGTAATATATTTATTATTTTCAACAAATGTTTACAACTTCCTAACCCTCAATGCAAAATTGGCAATGATCTATTAACAACAGTTAAACCCTTTATTGCCATCTCTATATGGAGGGAATTACTTCAAATTAGGCTTAGTCTCTTAAAGGTTTTTTATTCCTCAACTTTGAATATTAATTAAAACTAAAAAGGAAAAAGTTCACAGATGCATGGAATCAAATATGCAATAAAAAAGATTGAAGGATTGAGTTTTTTCCACAAACTGATCTTTTTTTTCTAACTCCTTCATCTTTGCAACACGATGTTGTATACCTTTGATCTTACACATTTCGGTTGCAAAAATATAGGGATTAGACAATATGAGTTTGTGGTAAAAACTCATCACTAACCAGGAACCCTAAATATTTATTTATTTAATGTTTATTTATCTTTCTTCGAAAATATAAAATAAAATTTTTTTTTAACTCCATAAAATAGTCACAGCAAGGATTCCAAAATTCAAATTAATTATCTATTACAAAAAGTAAATATTTTATGAAAAAAAAACAGAAAAAAGATACTTAAAAAAATGTTGATCAATAAAGATAGCATGTTTTACCAAAAAAAAAAATTAAAAAAGAGTGTTTAGTGAATGTTGCCGTGGGGGTAATTAAGTGCAAAATGGGATCATAAAAAAAAAATCCGCAAATAGAATTTAATGAACATATCATTCAGCATTTTAAAAAGATGAAGTAAATTGCTTTGGTGAAAAAGAGACAGAGTTTTAAATGATCCCTTTCTAATGAAAAACATTTTCCATTTAACTACAGGGTGTCCCACGAAACATGACAGTTGGTGAATAGTTTAAAATGTCTTCTTCCATAATATGTTAAGTTATTTGAGACCAAAAAGAATAATGAAAAACTATTATGTGGCAATAATATTATAGTAAAATTGATTTCAAAGTATAGTATATTTGAATAAAAGATTTTTTAACTATATAAACGGCAAAAAAATTTTAATATCTAATACAGTATATAGAAGAAGACATTCAAAACTACTCACAAAAGTCTCATCCTTTGAGGATAATCTTCATAAAGGTCTACGACATTGCGTTGCAAAAATGTAGGGATTATAAAGTCAGAATTCGTGGCAAAACTCTATTTTCTTAATATACACAAAATTTTCAACAACTTATGCTTATAACAATATTGTGCCCATCTGCAGAAAGTATGTTGTCTCATTATTCATTAACCTAAAGAAAAATCTGGACAAAAATATTGGGAACATTTAAGCTTAATTTAATCTTATTCTATAAATGAAGCCAAATATTTTGTCGATAATTAAACTTGTAAACTTATCCCTTCTAAAAATCCTTTAATTAGATGGCTTCTCAAAGCATAAATTGCGTTTTAGACTGAAATGTAGTTTTCAACTATTACTCCTATAATTATACATAAGAGAGTAAAAAAATGTTTGAATTTCTTTCTAGTTTAAAGTAAATTTTCTTTACTCAATTTGTGCTAAAATTCAAAACTTCTCAAATTTGAGCTAAAATCAAAACTATTCTCATATTTGTGCTAAAATCAAAACTATTCTCATATTTGTGCTAAAATCAAAACTATTCTCATATTTGTGCTAAAATAAAAACTATTCTCATATTTGTGCAAATATCAAAACTATTCTCACATTTGTGCTAAAATTCAAAACTTCTCATATTTGTGCTAAAATCAAAACTATTCTTTATTTGTGCTAAAATAAAAACTATTCTTATGTTTGGGCTAAAATAAAAACTATTCTCATATTTGTGCTAAAATCAAAACTATTCTCATATTTGTGCTAAAATCAAAAATATTCTCATATTTGTGCTAAACATCAAAACTATTCTCATATTTGTGCTAAAATAAAAACTATTCTTATATTTGTGCTAAAATCAAAACTAATCTCATACAGTGAAACCCTTAATAACGAATACATCGGAAGAATTTATCAAATGTCGTCTTGACAATTTTTCAATGAGTTTTATACTATATTACGTAAATTTCAGAATTTGCGAAAATAAATAAATAGCCAAAAATATGCGGGAATAATTTTAAAAAGTTCCATATAATAATTTAATTAAAAAACTAAATATTGCAACATTCCATTATCAGAAAGTGAAGAATACGACATTTGAGAAATTCGTTCGATGTATTCGTTATTAAGGGTTTCACTGTATTTGTGCTAAAAATCAAAACTATTCTCATGTTTGTGCTAAAATAAAAAACTATTCTTATATTTGTGCTAAAATCAAAACTATTCTCATATTTGTGCTAAAATAAAGATTATTCTTATATTTGGGCTAAAATCAGAACTGTTCTCATATTTGTGCTAAAATAAAAACTAATCTCATATTTGTGCTGAAATAACTAAAAAACTATATTCTCATATTTGTGTTAACATCAAAACTATTCTCATATTTGTGTTAAAATCAAAACTATTCTCATATTTGTGCTAAAATCAGAACTATTCTCATATTTGTGATAAAATAAAAACTATTCTCATATTTGTGGTAAAATCAAAACTATTCTCATTTTTGTGATAAAATCAAAACTATTCTCATATTTGTGATAAAATCAAAACTATTCTCATTCTTGTGCTAAAAATCAAAACTATTCTCATATTTGTGGTAAAATCAAAACTATTCTCATATTTGTGGTAAAATCAAAACTATTCTCATATTTGTGGAAAAATCAAAACTATTCACATATTTGTGCTAAAATCAAAACTATTATCATATTTGTGCTAAAATCAAAAATATTCTCATATTTGTGGTAAAATCAAAACTATTCACATTGTGCTAAATCAAAACTATTCTCATATTTGTGGAAAAATCAAAACTATTCACATATTTGTGCTAAAATCGAAACTATTCTCATATTTGTGCTAAAATCAAAACTATTCTCATATTTGTGCTAAAAATCAAAACTATTCTCATATTTGTGGTAAAATCAGAACTATTCTCATATTTGTGATAAAATCAGAACTATTCTCATATTTGTGGTAAAATCAAAACTATTCTCATATTTGTGATAAAATCAAAACTATTCTCATATTTGTGGTAAAATCAAAACTATTCTCATATTTGTGGTAAAATCAAAACTATTCTCATAAATATGCTAAGATCAAAACTATTCTCATATTTGTGCTAAAATCAAAACTATTCTCATATATTTGTGCTAAAATAAAAACTATTCTCATACTTGTGCTAAAATCAAAACTATTCTCATATTTGTGCTAAAATCAAAACTATTCTCATATATGTGCTAATATCAAAACTATTCTCATATTTGTGCTAAAATAAAAACTATTCTCATATTTGTGCTAAAATCAAAACTATTCTCATATATGTGCTAAGATCAAAACTATTCTCATATTTGTGCTAAAATCAAAACTATTCTCATATATTTGTGCTAAAATAAAAACTATTCTCATATTTGTGCTAAAATCAAAACTATTCTCATTTTTGTGCTAAAATCTAAACTATTCTCATATATATGTGCAAATATCAAAACTATTCTCATATATTTGTGCTAAAATCAAAACTATTCTCATATATATGTGCTAAAATCAAAACTATTCTCATATATTTGTGCTAAAATCAAAACTATTCTCATATTTGTGCTAAAATAAAAAACTATTCTCATATATATGGGCAAATATCAAAACTATTCTCATATATTTGTGCTAAAATCAAAACTATTCTCATATTTGTGCTAAAATCAAAACTATTCTCATATATATGTGCAAATATCAAAACTATTCTCATATATTTGTGCTAAAATCAAAACTATTCTCATTTTTGTGCTAAAATCAAAACTATTCTCATTTTTGTGCTAAAAATCAAAAATAGTGATACAAATAATGTCCCATAAATTTGACCGTTTCCTTCTCTAAATATTCTTTTATATGAAGATAATGAAGCTATGTGGAGCATTTGGAATTTTTATATTAAGGCATTGCGGTTCAATTCATGTCCATTGCTAAAACTTTCTATGACAGCTGGTTTAAAAATAAATAATGAAAAAGAAATACTAGTCTTATTTCTTGAATGACTGTTTTTAATTAATTTCAAAAGAAATAGATCCTTCAGTAATCTGTTTAACAATTACTTACATGAGTTTTCACGTGGCGAACAATGTTTTTTTTATAATACAAAAATAAATTGTTTATGAAAAAAACCAGCTCTTTTAGGTTTTAAAGGTTTTCCTTATCTAAGTGTGCAGTGTCTTCTTTTTGATTAGTAGTTATATTAGTGTTAAAGAAAAGGCTAATAGCTCATCATTAATTAAAAAATGGCATTCCGAGAAAATTTGATTCTGTTGCTGTGCACACTTTTGACTGAGTAAAAATAACATTTGAACGAAAAACCTAATGGTTCATCAACAGCGACTTGAAAAAAGTTCAAGGTCTATTATACAGAGTACCCCACGAAACTAAATAGTAGAAAGACGACTTTTAAAGGTCGTTTTTATCTTTAAATAATTTGTAGAATCACAAATATTACCTAGTCTTAATATTACTAAAATGTGGTCTGCTTTCAATATTACCGGAGATTTGAAGAAATTCATTCAGATTTAAATTGTAAAAAAAATCGAAATTGTTGATATCTTAAAATAATTCTTCATTCTGGAAAAGAGGACCATTGAAATTTTGTGATTGTTGTTTCATGCATCATTCATGTAAAAATAGGATTAGGAACAAAAAGCCGCAAATAATTTCAGTGATCTAAGACGATGTAAACGTCGTCTTTCTATTTTCAAGTTTTGTGGGACACCTTGTACCTCATGTCAAGTCAACATTTTGCACAGTTCTTCAAGTCAATCTTTGAGACCTTACAAGTTCAAAGTTTGTTATCTTCTAGATAAGGTTCTTTAATATTTGGTTGATTATTCTGGATGCGCTCCAATGTACAGGAAATATTATCTCCTTGGCATAGATAGAATCCGCATAGGCACACTCGCCTTTATAATCAGTGACGTCATATGCAGATTCTATCTACAGTTCAGATATAAAACTATTACTTCCAATACCCATACTATATAAGTAAAGCAAAAAGCAAATGAAAGAAAAAACTGAGAAACTAAATAATAAACCCAACATAAAATAAAATAACAACATTTAGTTTGATTTTCTACATTTATTAAAATCATCACAATCCGAAATAAAATTACAATAAAATATGACATAATTATTTTTAAAACTAAATAAAATATATAGGTTTTAAAAGCATAACAGTGAAAGGTGTTCAGCAGCACTTCGGTTAGAAACAAAGACGACATTATAAAAAGTATTAATAGAGCCAAATATCTAAGTTTGAGAGTTAAAGATCAGTTTTAAGCTAAAAATTACGTCACATAAATCTGACGCAATCTAACTTAATAATATGCCTCTAGAAAGTGCGGATCAAATAACTATAAATTAAATGTCGTCTTTAAACTGAAATATTAATCTTTTATCTTCAGATCATTAAATTATGTTTATTTTGAGTTTTGAATCATGCAAACTACGCAAAATAGATTTTAAGTTGACCCAGCAAACATTTAGTCTCCGACATACCGCATATGTCGACCAAAATTTTTTACCATCGGCAATATAAGTCGGTTTCAATGTTTCGTGGGCATAAACTACATAGATTATTTTTTGGTTGAGACTTAGTTAGCAGAGTATAGTCTTAGTGATTTTGTGATCAAGTAATTTTTAACTAGTTCAATGAGTTCAAAAACTACACTTATACAATGTGATTTACTTGATTCAGATTAATGTTCTAGTTAACGGAAATTAATTTAAATTGAGTAAAAGCAGTGCCATAATAAGTTGTGAACAGTTTTACAATCATTTTCATAATTCTTAAAAGTTTGCTAAAATCTTTAAAATTCTAAATGATATTTTTCCAAGTTTTTTATTTTATTAACTAATTCTTCGGGCTTTTCGTTTAGAAAAAACATTTTCTGTTCGGAATGTAATTTTCAAATTAAACATAATGTACTTTAAAAAGAAGGCATTACTAAACAACTTTTTTGAACTAGATAAACCCTTTCTCAGTACTTGAGATTAAATGTCGGGTTTCAAAAGCAGATTCTCTATAATCTTTGGCTCCGGCTACAGAAGCTGAAGAATTGTTCTCTGAAAAGGTATTAGCATCATTAAATATTCAATTAAATATTGTTAAAATAAACAAATAAAATTTAACAAGAATTTTTCAATGCTGCAATGCTGTAATCAAAACAAAACAAAAGTTAATTTTTTAAAGGATCGGACATTAGAAAGAAAATTTATCACAAGAAATATACAAAACAATGTTAGATATTAAAAATATAATTACAAGTGTTAAAAATACAGTGGTCGCCAGAGTAAAGAGGAATGGTGATTTTGTTTATGTATAACCGAGAAATGGATTCTTGCATACTGCGTAACGACCGCATACTAGCTTACTTTATTTCAAACTCGTCTTTGTATTCATAAGTTTCGAGGTGACCACTGTACTAGACCAAATAACAGGTTTACTATCTAGCTTCCCTATTTTTTCTTTCATGGCAGAGCATAATAAACATGATTGTGCCAGTAAAAAAACGTGAAAAAAAGATGAAAGAAGGTGAAGAATGAGAAAAGTGAAGAGTCCCTTGAAATGCTACAAATCTACCATAACATTACTGTTTCGAATCCTGAAAATTGAAGGACCTTTTTTAACGGACAAGCTTTTAAACCCTTTATATTGGTTTAAAAACCATTTATTTTTAAATCAACCGCAAAATATTTTAACCTACTTCGAGGAAAAGGAGAAGGGAATTATATTTATTCCTAGTCGTGAATTCAGATCTTTTAGCTCGGCACTTTATTTGATATTTATTGTTTTTCTTAATAAACATTTAAAGAAAACATACTAAGTGCTTTGCTTTTTTTCCAGTTAGGGCCGGGGAGTCCAAATTTTATTTTATTCAACCTCAATTCTAACTTAAGGACCATTCAAATCTCGGATCCAAATTAAATGGATTCATAAAACTTAAATTAAACAACCCTGATATGGATATTAAAGTGTAAAGCAAAACTAACAGTGAGAAATAGCAACGTGGACAATCCATACCGAATATGGCATCCGGTAAGGCGTTAACCCGGCCTTCACAATTAAAACACTACAAAAGACAACGAAAAGCAGACTCTGCGAAGTTAGTGTTAACTTACATTTAGCAGGCTCTACGTAGTTACTAGGGAATACCCCGGTCTTGTCTCCTAGTGAACCTCTCCACCAGTCCGCCTCATCCCTGTTAGTTACTTGGATACTGTCACCAGCCTGGGCAATCAATCAATCAATCAATCACTCAACCAATTAAATAATCAATCACATAATATAAATTGGCTTTGTTTGTAGGTTTTGCAGCTCTGTGTGCATAGAGAAATATCATTTCAGTTTCTCCCATGGTCAGATTTAGAGATAGAGCTTTCTAAAACATCAATGAATTTTCTTACAAACATGATAAACAGATCTGGTAATTTGTGTATTGAATGCTCCTGCTGGGGTTCATACTATTTTCTACAAAATCATCGTGGAATTGTGAGAATTATATATGTTGATCTAAATGGTGGATTTGTTCATCATGACTTCAAGAGATAATTTACAAACGTTTTGAAAGTTCTAGCACTAAAGCTGACCATGGGAGAAGCTAAAATGTGCTTTTTAAACATATTTCTCTATGCGCCTTAAAGTTATATAACCTACAAATCAAGCCATTTTTTATTTTGCATTTATTTTTCTTGGGTGTACAGTGTTCACGTTTGGTCAAGTAACAACATAAAATTATCAGATTTTTTGTACAATTTCATAAATCCTAAAAACCTGATATTTGAGTAGCGAGCTCGGAACTAACAGATTAACGTATTATCAAAAAGTAAACCAATTAACTTATTTATCAACAAAATATCTAACAAATAAAGTACAGGAATGAATAAAACTAAATCAGCCAATTAATAAAATAAAATCATGAGTCAATCTAGTTCCGTGAATAAAATAAACATGAGAAATGGAAAGAGTCAATCCACGTGCGAAAACCGGTTTTACCTGGAAGCTGAGCTCGTCTTCGTATTGCGCTACGTAATCAAACAGGGCAACAAACTTCTCCCCTGGAGAAAAATAAATATTATATATATTATATATATTTGCTAGCTTAAGAACCCAGCGTGGCCCAGGTTAGAATATAGTCCCACCGTTTACCCGCCCTTTGTCGTAAATTACGATTTAAGATATTTTCCCGGAAAAAGTCGACATCCCTCAACTTGAATCTCAAAACCAAACAAAGAACATTCCCGAGGTTTTGTCAAGTTCCCCAATTAAAATTTGTGGCAAATCTATCAAGGGTTCCTGAGTTATGATCGGACAAACAAACAGACAGACAAACAGAAATTACAACTTAATATATCATCTTATACATGGTAAACAAATGGTAGGATTAGAAATGAGATTAGAAAGTGGTGAACAATTTGCCGGGAGAGATTAATAACACTAGAAAGGAAAATCTGATTTTTAATTTCCTTTGTTCCTCGGATTTGTGTTCCTTGTAAGAAGACCACTTTTAACCAATTTCCGACCTACCTTCTCCTGCGGGCAGATCAGTACTGGATTCTGCAGGTTTCTTATCTGAACCTCCGTCCAGCAGTTGAACATAACTAGCTGGAAACCAACCAACGGCACGCTTCTTTCCTTTGCCCTAGAAGTATGAAATTTTTATCAATGAAAGCAAAGAACTAATTCAAGCAAAAGCTTTTGAATGCATTAAGCAAAAACAAAAATTTTTTATTTATATGATTTTTAAAAAAATAAACCAACGTCTAAAGTTCTCCTGATTACAAAACTTGGGCTTTAAAGTAAAAAAGTGTTTTCTAGTTATTGTTAAAACTGTCAAGTAGGTTGACCGCTGAATGCGGCAATTAGTTTCAAAAATCTTAAAGGGAGTGTTTGGTGGTTGAACTGAGAATGTAGTATTGCGGATAAATGTTTAGAGCTATTAAACGTTTCATTGATGTATACTTACTGAGTTTTAACGCAAAGACGACTTTCAAATTCATCCATTTGGATGGTTACGTTTTGAATATCGATTTTTTTTAAATTATTTAATAACGACAACAAAAAGTGTAACAAAAATTCTACAGTAAACTTAATAGGTGTATAGGAATAAGTTGAGAAAATAAAACTTAACTCTTATCATCGAAAATAAGTAATCTTATGTTTCTGTAATCTCTCATTGTCCACAAAAGCTTTCAGGAGATTTTCTGGAATTTTTATTGAAAAGACGACATTTGAAGAATTTGTAGAAATCTGCGAACAAATTCGTTTAGAATAAGAACTTCAATCTAATGATGAAAAAGAAATAATTGATTCTAACATTGATTTATTGACAAATTTCTATTGAGAAATATGTTCCTAATTTTTCGTCGTCCTTATTTAATAATTTTTAAAAATCGATTCTCAAAAGGTAACCACCCAAATGGATGATTTTAAACGTCGACTTTGCGCTCAATCTCAATAATTATACATTATTAAAACATTTTATGTGTATCAAATGAATCCTAACAAATTTCTCCACAATACTACATTCTCAGTTCAACTACCATACATTGCCGGTCACTCCCTTTAACTGTCATACGGGTCCGCCTATGTTAAGGTGTTACTTACCCCTGCTTGTAGTTCTCCCTGCCACCATCCAGTCTCAGTCTTCTTCTTCACAAGGATCATCTGACCCTAAGCAACAAAAAGGTCAGTCTAAAAAAAAGATAAGGAAGTAGGATGGGGGGAGGTTATGGGACAGAAAATGTAAAAGAAATGGGACACAACACAGCAGTTGAAATTGAAAAGAAAAGGAAAGAATCGATAAATCTATAAAAACCATCAGTTGGGAATAAACTGAACCGATAATAACTATTCATAACACTGTTATTTCGGTTCCCAGTGTTATAAAGTTTTTGGGACAGAAATTTTCTATTTTTCGAGAAGGTTCGAGCCTTTTTAGATTTAACAAAACATAACCTAAAAATGTGAGAACCTTCGAGATATAGACAAAAGGAATTGAGTCTTTGCCAAAAACTGTGATTTTATAAACCCTATATCTTTGGAAACCAATGTCTTAGATCTTTGACAATTCAAACCATGACCTCTGTTAGATCAAATAATATAAGTTTGAAATATCGAAGGTTAACGTCATTGGGTTCCAAAGATATAGGGATTAAAAAGAAAGAGTTTGTGACAAAGACTCAATTCCTTTAAGTCCAAAAACATTATAGCACGTAGTGCCAAAATAATAGTGTTATAGGTAATTTTATGAAAAGTTTGTGTAATTGTCTTATTTCAATGGCTCTTTTAAATCAAATAAGCTCTGAAACAAAGCAGAAGTCAAATTATAAAGTTGATTTCAATTTTATTTTCATTTCAATTGAAAAATAATATTTTGGGAATATCCTATTTTTTTGGAGAAAATCCGGGAACCTATCAAAACTTTATAGCACACGCTGTATAGGGTGTACCTGTACCTTGTCTAATGTACGATGTACGGTGTACGGTGTACAGTATACAGTGTACATACCTGGGCTAGAGTCAGCTGTTCCTTGGATGTCGCTGCATAGGGTGCAATAACCTTAGCTATCTCCATCTTCTTTCCTGACTTATCCTTAATATTATTATAATGAAAAAGGAATTAAATAAAAATTCATGTTTAATTTTGTTAGTTCATATGAAAATCAAATCTTTTTGCATGCATTAGAAAAAGTATGGTTTATTGTTGATTGGTTTAATAATCATTGGTATTTAGTTCATTAGTGGTTTTTAACCCCCCTGTGTCCGCCCCTGCCTATTTCTAACATAATGAGAGGGGAGGGTATGAAATAGATTTTTTAGCAAGAACAACAAAATTCTAGAACTATTACAGCTTTTTCTGTGATATCCATTTGTCAAATCTAAGAGCGAAAGAGTTGTGTCTAAAATCTATGTTAAATAGTCGCAGTATACTTCAGTAGTGCCTGGAATGATTACAAGCTGAGAAAAGTTCATGCCGCAAAACATATTTACGTGGTGGTGATTACAAATTTAGATGGGTGTGCACTCCCTCCCTCAGTTAGATTAGAAAACTTTCCTCGATTTTAAGGAGTTAAACCAAGGTTTAACGGTGTATCCACTGAATACCGAACACGGTCGATAAAGCTAGACATCAAAACAATTTTTCAGTTTGTTCTTACCTTCTTGGATTTTTTTGGTTTCTGTCCCCCAGATTTATCCTGGGAGACAGATCGAACCAACTTCTGCAGCGTGAAATATTTATTGATTAGAAACAAAATTTAACTGATCACTTAATTTGCTGATTAGATATAACTGATTAGTTCCTTTGTTAGTAATATGTATAAGCTGTCGTCGTTTATATAAATACAATGAAGACGACTCTCTAACTTATTTGTTATTTCTACCAAGCTTTAAAGGGCACAACCATTTAAACATTTGAATAAATAGAAGTTGTCTTTGTTTCCTTGTAAAATTGTAATTTTAAAAGCACTTGTTGGGAATCAAAGCACTGTTAGTATTAAGGCGTTTTCATTGTATTGATATAATCTCCGACCACACTGTTTATATCTCCATATTGCCAAACCGATTTTCAACATTTTTATAAAAACTTTTACTTTTAATACTTAATATAGTTTCTTGTTTTAAAATAGTATAATAGTCAGTATAAATCGAAATAGAAGTCGCCTTTGTTTAACATTTTAATCAGATATATATAAAGAAATGTAGATTAAAATTTGTAAATTAAAACGGTTACGAAAAAGTTAAAATTACAGAATGTCTACAGGGTGTCCCACGAAACATGACAACAGTAGCAAGACGATTCTAAAGTCGTCTTTGATCTTTGGATTTATTTGAGACTTTCAGTCGTCAACTTTTTTCACACGAATGATTCTTTAAACAATAACCACAAGATTCTCCTAGTTCTTGGATTGCCAAAATGTGGTCTGCCTTTTTTGTGCTGTCAATATTACAGTAGATATTGAGAATTTCGTTCAGATTTCAATTTTATTAAATAAACATAAATTGTCGAAATCTGAACAAAATTCTTCATATCTTCGGTAATATAGATTAATCTTACTTTTTAAATTTGGCTTACAAATAAATGCGGTAAATTATTTCAAAGATCAAAGAAGACCTTTCAGTCGTATTTCTACGACCATGTTTCGTGGGACACCCTGTATATTTCTGATTAAAAGATTGAAGTAAGACGACTTTCCTTCAACTTTAAATTAATTTTGACTCTGAGACAATGCCTTCAATTAATCCATGAAATGTTAAAGCTAATTCACCCTAAAAATAACCCTACAAATACCTCAAAAAGTAAAAAATCCCCGAATTAAAAAAAAAAAAAACCTCGGCATCCGAAATCTCCGAAGTGTCCGCAGCTGACGTATCATTCACGGAGGGTTGGTCGGACCCGTCCTAATTGGAGGGTATGGGGTTAGTAAACAAACAAAACAGTACACTGTACTGTGAGTACAGTTTAACGGGGTTGGTTAGTAAACATTTTACATCACACCTTACTACAATTAATGAAATTCAAAAATATGACTTATAAATCTTATATTTCTGGAAAAAAAAGAACTGAACACTTGCCAAAATTCGAATTGTCTTATCCCTTTATGTTTGCAACCTGATGTTATAGACCTTAAATATTTCAAACTAAGAATTCTGTAAATTCAAATAGTCAAACTTACAAATATCAAAGGTTTGTAAGACCAGGTTGCAAGGATATAGGAAATTAAAAATTCCGAAATTGTGACACATGTTTCTTTATACTAATAAAATTAATTTTAGAGTACAATGTGGACAAAAGACAATAATGTCAATTAAACTGTAAACAATAAAAATACTCCCATGAAACATTAGAGGCTCTATATGAGACCATTGAAGATTTAATAAATTTAATTAATGTTAATATTAACATCAATTAAATTAATAATTAAGATCAATGGTCTCATATCGTGCCTGGTATCCCATGAAAGGACAAAGTGTTAAATACAAAACAAGCATCTACCCAATATATTTAACTATACGTTGAACTAACCTGTGGAGCGGGTTCTACGTAGTTGAACGGGAAGACACCCGTCTTGTCTCCGATAGTTCCTGTCCACCAATCCCCGTTCTTAGCGCTCACTATTATCTTCTCCCCGGCATCAAACTGAAGATCGTCGGGCTCCTCCGAGGCGTAGGGATATACTGCTATATACAGCTCATACTCAACTCCTAGATCAGTAGATCATACTAATTATCAGATATCTAGACTTAAGTTGGAAAAATTCTAGAAACCAAGTACAGGGGATTTTGAAGATTTCAAAATGGTAAAAATAATTTTTAAAAATGCCCGGCGCATTTTTAATCACCCCTTACCCATGTTTTTTTAAAAGAATTTTTGATCACTTTTACGACAAAACTTTTAAAAATCCATTCTTAAAAATAAAATTAGAGCACTAGAAGATGGCCCTCTCCCCAAATATTCCAGGTGGATGCCCCCCCCCTCCCTCCCCCAAACGCATAAGCTGGCTATGGCTTAATATAATCCTGATTTTTAATATACTTCTGACAAGTTAATTTTTAGATGATTTATCTTTTTACCGTTGGTTTCCGCTTGTTCTCCCTGAACAGGATCACTGCTGATGTCTGCAGAGGTTTCTGCGGCAGCATTAGTAGCAGCAGCAGCAGCAGTGGTGTCTGCCGATGTAACTTCTTGCAGACCAACTCCAGATTCCTATAAATAAAACAATTTACCATCATTTCGTAGAAATCAGGATTCCTTAAGTAAATTGTTGGTTTGACTGAAAAAGAAATTTGTTGGCATAAAAACTTTTGAAAGATTTAAAGAGAAAATCTTTACCTGAAATGATCCGTTTTCACTTCCTGTCTCTGAAACCTCAGCAATAGGTTGTAGGCTGAGCTCAATCCCATCTCCACACCTCTCCGCATAAGCTTCTGGAAACCATCCTATCTTTCCATTCAACTCCCCACCAAGCCATCCAGGTTCATGCTCCTGCTCAGGATGAACCATAATAATGTCGTTGATCGAGAAGGAGAGTTCGTCCTCGTTCCTGGCCTCATAATCATACAGAGCCTTGTATTTATGATATCCGGCGGCTGCTGCTTTCTCCTCAATATCAGCTGCTTCAGCAACCAAAGCAGGTTCAGCTGCCGAAGGAATAGGAGCTGCTTCAGCTTCTATTTCTGCCACTGCCTCGGCTTCAGGAGCATCTTCGAAACCTCCACCCCAAGCATGATTTGGATCAGTTAACTCCCGGATTTTCTTTGACTTCTCTGCCCTAACTTCGCGCCGTTTTTCGTCGAAACCTTCATGCAGAGCTTTGCAAGTTTCGATCATCTTTTTTAGATTCTCCCTGTGCTCCTGGAGTATCTTCCTGTTCTCCTCAACCTCTTGTTTCTTTAAAACCTCCTCCGACTTTGGGGAAACAGAATATTCAAAACAAGTTTTTTTTTTAAAAATCAGTTTCAGAATGAAATAATTTTTTTGGGGGGAAAATCATTTTTTTAAAAGATCAATTAGAGTTTTAGGTAGATCCTATTTTTCACATATTATTACTAAATCAAGAAAAAGATATTTCTGTTTTGTTCCTTGACAGTTTCATATTGGATTCTCATCTCCACGACCTTGGCCAACTTCTCCTCCTTCTTCAGGTCAAAGTCGGTGATCTCAACGACTACAATATCAGAGATAAGTCTGTATATAAGATTAATTAGTAAATAACCTAAGTAGTAAAGATTTTCTTTTGATGTATTTTTGTATTCAAGTTTAACCAATTATTTTGTATTTTAAGTTCTGAAGATAACAGGGCAATAAGTCCAAAATTATCCGGTTTTATGCAGTTACATCAAAAAAATTATAATAAAGCTTCTAATTTTAAACCACATTACTGTACAGTGTACAAAACAACTTTGTGTTTACAGTTTGTGTTTCAATATTGTACACATTCACTAATGTTGCTTTAACTTGATGAATCAACAGAATTAATTATGCTACAAACTATTTACAATTCTTATATGCAGTTCTATGGTACAAAATCAGTCAAGTTTAGAACTACAACTTGGATGACTTGGAAAGTTAGATTTTTTACAATGCTGCATCACAGAAAACACAGATAAGACAGAGAGTCAGTGTTTTAATTCTAAACTCTTGTACTTTTAACTTTACAACTCTACCATTATTATTATTTATATTTCGTATTAATCCAAGATCAAGCATTATGAAACCAAGTCAAACTTTAAACAGTTAATAGAACAACTATTAAGGTAAAATATAAGAAGTTTTGTAACTTCTCTTGTGGTTTATATAAACTGTACAGTGTAACCGGTCAGAGAGGAATCAAAATTACTGAGTTCGTAGTATTTGTTGTCTTAAGATGATTTGATGGACTATGGATTAAAATTACAATGGTACACCACAAGATGGATCAGATTGACAACTGTACACTACACATTGGACCAGATTGAAAACGGTACAAATCCAATTGATAATTTACAACAGTACAGTACACAATGGATCAGAATGACAACGGTACAGTACACAATGGATCAGAATGACAACGGTACAGTACACAATGGATCATATTGACAACGGTACGGTACACAATGGATCATATTGACAACAGTACCGTACACAATGGATCAGAATGACAACGGTACAGTACACAATGGATCAGAATGACAACGGTACAGTACACAATGGATAAGAATGACAACGGTACAGTACACAATGGATCAGATTAACAACGGTACAGTACACAATGGATCAGATTGAAAAAAGTACAGTACACAATGGATCAGATTGACAACGGTACAGTACACAATGGATCCGATTGACAACAGTACAGTACAGAATGGATAAGATTGACAACGGTACAGTACACAATGGATCAGAATGACAATGGTACAGTACACAATGGAGCAGATTGACAACGGTACAGTACACAATGGATCAGATTGACAACAGTACGGTACACAATGGATCAGTTTGACAACAGTACAGTGCACAATTTAATCAACTAAGACTGATCTGTTATTAATAAAATTTATAAGTCCCTCTGATATCGTGCATCAACTTCATATTCATGTATTCAACTAATTCGTGCACATTGCATATTCAAAGGCTAAATAAAATGTAAACTCTAATTGTTCTAAACCAATGGTTGCTGTATTGTATTTTTATCATGCAAAACTGATTCCCTAAATCTTGACTAAATCTCATTGTAATACTACGTAAAAATGATGTTGAAATTATCAACTGGGAAGTGGACAGACAATATAATGCTGTAAATTGCCAAAATTTCAGCAATCAAAAAGCAATCCAAAAATAAGTCGAAAAATGAGACAAAACTTAATCCGAAACAAAATCCAAATTGAGTCCAAAAATGAATCTTGAAATTAATCAAAAAATTAATCCAAGATTGAGTCCAAAACTGATTTCAAAAATGAATTTAAAATAAATAAAATATGAATCCAAAAATGAATCCCAAAATGGATCCAAAAATGAATTCAAAAATGAATCCAAAATGATTAAAGTATAAATCCAAAATAGAATCCAAAATTAAATCCCAAAATGAATCCAAAATTGTATCCAAAATAAAATCTAAAATCTGAAATATCTCTCGTGCACTGTATTTAAGTATAATAAATGGGTTTAAGTCTGGCAGCTTTTACTAATCTACAGGTTTATTATTAACTAAACTTTATTGTAGGGAATGTTATCGCATTTGTAGTTTTTCATATTATTTTACTTACAAGCTTACTTGGAATGATTTACAATTAAGTATTTATTGAACCAAAAAGAATTAGATAGACAACTTTGACTTCTAGGTATCTTTATTTTATCTGGAAAACCCACTAAACAAGTTGAAAAGAAAAACATAAAATATTACGTAACAGTCCCTAATAACATATTCACAATGTTCAAAACTTTTCAGTTTCTCCCGACCTTGAATTCAGAATTTGAAAAACTTAACCACTGAATCGCCAACTTTGATCCCCGATTAATATGGTCTTTTTGATTCCATTTTACTTAAAAACTCCGAAAAGTTATTTGGTTTGATTAAACATTCGAAAAAAATTTATAGAATTACTAATTTTAAAGAGTTCAAAAATAATTTTTAAACTATTGTTATTTGATGGTTCCTGAAAACTGAAAAGTGAACATGTCTTAAAAAGTTAAATTTTTCAGAGCAACTTAGCTCTGTGAGGTCTACCGTGCAGCGAGCAATAGTGTAAACCCAGGTTGTATTATGTACATTAAGTTTTGACAAATCTGCAATAATATATTTCAAAAATGTTCCAATTAAAATGGGATCAACTGGACAATTATTTAAAAAAAAAAAAATCTTAAATGTCCATGCTAAAACTAAATTTTGGTTTATCCTTAATTATGGTATTTTTTTCAAACATTCCTTATTAAGGGTCTTAATTCCTAATTTTAAGGTACGCACTATTCAGAGTAGCATTACCGATTCACAACGGTACCCTTAACAATTTACACATTAGTCTGGTCAAAGATGAATGAGACATCTTTATTTTTCTAGCTTAACATTGATAATTTTCAGTTTTCAATCATGATTTCTCTATAATATTAACAAAAAAAAAGAAAATTGTCAGAATTCAACGCTTTTCGAGATATAAAATGGACGATAACTTCCCAATGGTTGATCAGGTAAAGGGTTTAAAGGGTACAGTTCTGAATCGGACATGCCACTCAACAATAGGGCCACTTTAAGTCTAATCCTCGTGATTTCTAAATACAACCCGGGTTTAAAGCTCTCTCAGGTCTACCTTCCGGAACCAGTGATTTGATTGAATGTGAGACAAAGGAAGAAATATAAGCAAACTTGTTCCTCTCTTCGTATGGTTCAGCTTCAAATACTGAAAATATTCCCAGATCTCATCGATACAGAGAACAAAACTTATAATGAACCTTTTTTTGGCGCTCAGGCGATTCATTTCCCCATCGAAGGTTTTACCTAAGAAGTTGTCGCCAAGAATACAACTTTTCTCGATTTAATTCAAATAAAAATTGTGCAGTAGATATCGGTTTAGTCACTGAAGCTGAGAAATATCCTCTTCAAAAATTTTGCCCTTGGGACATATTAGAAAATTTCTTATACCCGCAGTAGCATCCCGTGCAGTGGTAGTTAAGGATTATTCCGTTTCCTTTGGTTAAGGGTTAGTTTTAAATATTAGTCACTGAAGCTGAGAAATATCCTCTTCAAAAATTTTGCCCTTGGGACATATTAGAAAATTTCTTATACCCGCAGTAGCATCCCGTGCAGTGGTAGTGAAGGATTATTCCGTTTCCTTTGGTTAAGGGTTAGTTTTAAATATTTAAATCCATTTTTTTTTCTTTACCTTGTCCGTCTTCAAGCCTCTTCTGATTGACCTTGTTCTTGGCTTCAAGCTTAGACTTTTCTTGTGTCACCTAAAATTTATTAATTTATTAATTCATTTCATTAATTTATTTATTAATTTTTGTTTGGAGGTATTTAAGAAAACGTATTGATGAAAGTGCTGATGGGTTTTTAAAGGCAATAATAGAGAAAATACATACAAGATAACAAGTTAATTGACAACTTCTTTTTGTTAAAGTGTTTCTGCTGTTTGAAAGCTCAGTAGAAATAAAAAAATTGAAATAGAAAGTCGTCTTTATTGTATTAATATATGCGATGCCGACTGTAAAAGAAGATCTATGGGAATAACGATAGAAAGTTTTAAAGATTGGCGATAATTGAAAAGTTACATTGAAGGTAGTTTTTCAGGATCTGGTATGAGAATACAACTGGATTTTGGAATAGTTGAGAAAAATCATAGATTTTGGATCGGGATAATAGAAAAATGTATCAAAGGATTGAGTATTGATACTTGTGAATATCTATAAAAAGGATTGTTCTTGGATTGGGGTTAAGTGTATTTGTAAGATTTCAATTAAGGGAATGTTTCTAGATTTGGACGGAGGTAATAGAGAAAAATCATTTGCAATGGATCTCAAGCTTTTGCTGTTAGACAGAGATATTTAATATCTGTCGTTTAAACTTATTCTTTCAATGAAATTAGATTAAAAAATAACAATAAAAATATCAGTTTCCCATTTCAAAGAAGCGCGGATGTTTTTTATACATTGAGATCCATGAAACTAGAGAATAGAACGACGATTATTAGACAAAATTATCCAGTGAATATAAAGCACAGGAATTGTGCAATGAACTTTGATTTTCAAACTAATGGTAACTGTAAAACCTTTTGTTTAAGAACAGCATCAAATGCACTTTAAATTGGCTAAATATCGTCTTCTCTTCCACAGTTATATAGGACAATTTAGTTCACCTGCATGAGCCGCTGGTTTTGGTCCTTGAGTTGGTTTTTGAGCGCGTTAAGCTCGGCCATCTTGGTATCCCTGCTAGTTCGCATTCCGTCAATAAAGGACTTAACATCGGTAACTCCGGTTCTAGTTTCAGTTATATTGGTCGTCAGTTCAGACATCTTTGTCTTCTACAAGGATCAAAGATTATTAATTAATGGCTCAAAATTGATTAATAGTGAGAGTTGTTGAGTTTTGTAGACTTAGTTGAACAATGTCTACGTAGTTTAAATTAACTTCTCGCAGTTTGTTAGAGTAATTCTTCTTACAGGGAGGGATTATCTATAAACGTGGACATAAATTCACTAAAAGTAACAGATAATTAACCGCTTTACTTGACCCCCCCCCCCCTGGAATCGGCAATTCGCTTTTCCTATAGATCGGTTTTTGCAACTCTGCTAGTAATCCCGACAGTACTTTTAAATGTCTGAATATGCTTAACTTAGTAAAAGAGAGACGATTGGAGTTTTTAATCAATGAAGCGCCACTGAGAAAACTAAACCATTATCAAACATAAATTTTAGTGTTTTTAGGGTTATATAATAAATTACCGCGTTCTCTAGTTCTGCAGCAAGGGTCTCCTTCTTGGCCCTGAGCATGAGAACCTTCTCAGTCTCTCTCTGGCGGTGCTGCTCCAACTCATTCCTTCTCTGCTTCTCCCACTCCTCCATCCTCTGCTTCTCCATCTCCTTCCTACACATTAGGAACCACTTAAGACTTGGAATTCATTATTTTCTTTACGCCGTTTTAACGCCTCCAGAGGTGGAATTCAACCAACCAGCTACGGCCATCAAAGGAATCAAAGGTACGCAATATGGTGAATTGTTCACTAACAGTTGCTTTTTAATAATCATCAACTTTTATGGAAAGCCAAAGGAATTGAGTCTTTGGAACAAACTCAAATATTTAAACCTCAATATCTTTATAACTCGATGTTGTGAACCTTTGATATTTCAAACTCATATTATTTGATCTAAGAGAATTCATAGTTTGAAATATCTAAGGTCTGCACCATTTGGTTCCAAAGATATAGTGATTAGAAAATCAGAGTTTGTGGCAAAGACTCAATTCCTTTTCTAATTTCTTAATTTGGAGGAGATAACATCTTAACTTTTGGGTGGCTTTTCAGAGCTTGAAAAAAAGTTATAAAAATTAATGAAAAATGTGTACAAATCTGAATTGTAACTGAGGTCTTATTGGAGCTTCCAATGATTCCAATATAATTTACAGTTTTAAGAAGAATGTTTTTTTTATGTATTTGAGTTTTAATCAATTATTTCCTTTCAGATTTCTTTCAAGTATATAAAAGAGCGAAAACATTGCAACGTTGATAAAATTAGATTTTCTTTGATAGTAAAAACACGGCTAACTTTCTGATCTTTTTGTATTTGGAAAGGTTTCCAGGATGGACACTTTTTAAAATTTGTTTTAAACTATAATTATTTTCTATATTAATCTATAATTTAAATACTTATGGAAACTGGATTCAAGATATGTAAAACTAAAAAATAATCTTATACTAGATCTTCTAATTATAAATTCAGCATTTAAACCAGAAAAAAATGGAAAAAATACTTAATGCAAATTAAGTGTTTTTTTTGCACAATTCGTGATATTTGCTAAAATAAAAATCCTCTCATTTACATTTTAATTCATATAGTGATACAGTGGTCCCTAAATAGCGAAAACTTTTGGATATTATATTGTTATAGGATTGCATTAATCTTGGAAAAGTAAATAAACACACGCCACAAACTCTAATTTTCTAATCCCTATATCTTTGCAGACTGACAATGTATACCATTAATAATTGATTTCACAAAGTTCTTGGTTTGAAATAAAATATTTCTACGACATTAGGTTGCAAATTTATAGGAATTAGAAAATTTTAATTTTGGGCTTAACTGTTTGTTTTCTTTGCAGTTTGCACAGAGACAGAATTATTCTGCTAAAAATTTAATCCCAAGATTATTTCAAGTCGTCTTTGCTTTTCATTGTCTTCGGCCCCTGCTTATGGTTAAGAATAAATATAGTTGCAAGATTAAGATCCCTTTTAAACTTCCTGAGGCCGAATTTAAAGAATTTGAGACGCGGCTCAAATATGGTTGGTTCCGCTTAAGATTGTATCTAATTTTTTAAGATTTAAGCCGGCTCATTATTGAAACCGGTTTTTGCCGGATTTGAGACGCGGCTCAAATTCATTAAATTCGGACCTAGTTTAACTATTTTCCTTAAATCTACTAGCTGAGGGGTGAGCAGCATGCATTTGAACTTCTAGGTTCAGTTTCAGGGTTCAAGCGAAAAATATTTATCAATAAAATTCGAAACTATGCGAGCAGAGAAGGATACAGGGATACCCATAAAGGATGAGACTTTAGAGACGCGACTGTGTAGAATAGAATGACTTTTTATAGTTCATTTTCATACAACTTTATATTTTTTATTTCTTTACCATATCATTTACTACAAATTTAATTTTTCAACGTAATTCTTTTTAAATAATTCAAGGTTGTTATTAAATTCTTATCCTTATTGGGAAACACTATATATCAAACCTGGTTTACCAGCTGAAGTAATTACTTGGTTATGTTGTATACTAAGTCTATCCACTTTTAAGTTTTACCTACTTCTTGTGCTTTAAAAAAATTATAATTCAAGAGACCCTCCATGCAAAGAGGGAACTGTCCGATTTACAACGGTACCTTTAAAACCTTTTTGTATTGGTCGAGTGCAGAGATATATTTTACGAAACTTGTAAAACTGTAACTCAACACAGCGCACACTTAAATTTGCCGCTTAATTTCAGTGGTTTTCGATAAGTTTAACTCACATATCTCTCTACTCGACGAACATACATGTTTAAAGGTACCGTTGTGAATCGGGCATTGCCCTCTTTGCATAGAGGGTCATTTTAAATTATAGTTATAGTTCATATTTAAGTTAGCTTTCACCATACAATTATTTTTCCTAATTAGCCAATCGTTATTATGCAAATATGATATATTTCTGTAATGCACGATTTTACTGTTATTCTACTGAGCTAAGATTTGTAACAGAAATTGAAGTTTGTTAGTCAAAATTTATGCTTTAAATACGATCCTCTATATATAAAAATATGAAATTTCAGAAAGGGGTCATAATTAGACAAAGTTTCTTTGTAAAAATGCTTACTAGTTTTTCCGAAAATCACGTGACACGACTGACCGGCTGAATTCCTACTTCATAGAGAGAGACAACCCAGGTTTTAACTGTTTAGTGAGTTGACTTAATAATCCGATTTTGTATGTTTTGAGTTTTTTTTCCAGCAAGTTTGCCTCATTTACTACTCCCGAACCATTAAAAAATATGCTTGCAATAACATTTTTAAAATAAATAACAATATGATAATATTATAAGTTTTTTTTTAACAATTTCGGGAGCAGTATCAATTGTGCTCTGGTAAAGAAAATATAACTAAAATAATAAATAAAAATATTTCTAAAACTAAGTTTGTATTTAGTGTTCATCAATATTACATGCGTATATGAAAAACTATTAAAAATTCATGCCGCAATACAAAAAATATGGGGCCGGGGGGGAATAAAACAAATGCTGAGGGAAAAATGTGAAATGCAAAGTTTTAGTTTATTTGCCCCTGCATGCTTATTGATCATTGCCCATTGTCAAAATTATGCAATGACTATTTTACATAAGTACTTAAAAATCTAAATTCAATCAACTTACTTTTGCTTTTCCCTTTCCTCCTGTTCTTCTTTCTCCTTCTTCTTTCTCTTTTCCTCTTCTCTTTTCTGCACCTCAAGAAGGGATGCCCTGCAACCCACGGAGAAAAAGATAGATAAAAGAAAATTAAAAAATTCGGTGCTGTACTAAAAGCTGCAAATAAAATAAAAGTGAATCTTGAGGATTTAAATTAGTTTCCGGTCCAGAATCCAGAAAGACAAAAAATATAGTTAATCAAATTGTTTAAAAAAAAAGTGGGTGTGGGTGTAGAATAAAAAATCCCAGGTCATAAATGAGAAATACGCATACGTTTAGTTTATGTGCCTTTGGACGTCCTTGCCTTCATTTTTACCAAATCGCCTTTTTAAATGCTTACCGCCGTTTCTGAAGTTCTGCTTGCCCCGCCTCCCAGTTCTCCCGCCGTCTATCCTCAAAGGATGCTGGCGATAACACCTAGAATATGGCGTTAATTATACACAATCAGAAGGGGGGGAGAAGGGGGGGGGGAGAATTTGATTACATTATACAGTGGCATATTAGGACAGTCCTAGAACTCTACCTAAACTAAGTTTTTTTTGCGTACTGCAGTTCTTGCAGTACACCGACCGAATTGTTCAGCGGGTATTAAACTAATCATAATGTAAACAAACAAGATTTGTAAACAATGATTACTTAGGCACATACCTACCCTTCTCCTTACTCATGTATACCGAGCCTAGAGTTGTCCCCAGGAAAGAATAATGACGTGACAGTAAATGTAAACAAACCGTACCCCCCTTCCCCAACAATTTTACCTTTGGGGGAACATTAAATTTACGTCGACAGCATTATAATATCCCCCCATCAAAAAGTTCGCAGATTTGTTGCAAAAATATTTACCTCTTCGTTTACTCCGGACTTAACACTACCGGGTGTACTGACTCCAGACACTACTCCAGACGGAAGATTTTTCCTGGAAAATAATTCATTTAAGATGTTGTACATTCGTCGTCGTATATATCAATACAATGAAGACGACTTTCGATTTCAATATTTTTTACACCAAACTTTAAAACAGCATGGAAACTTAGAATTATGGAAACAATATAATTTTAATTTGTCATTATTAATGAGGAATTATGGCAATGGTTCCTCAGAATTTTCAAACCCTGCTCAGCAGTGACTTTTATTTTTCCAACCTGTAAGAATATGTAAACATAGACATTACTTGTGCATTAATTAAATAATTAAAGTGAATTGCTGGGGAAGTTCTAGCTCCCTGTCTACTTCACCCATCAGCACTTCCCCTTGCCATATGTATTTTACACACGCCTGGGGTTGTCTGTTAAATCCGCCCAGGTTTTATTATATTAATGATTCCTGTATGTCGGCGACCCGGGTAAAATCTATTAAACACCAGAGATTAAATTGTTTACTAATCTTCTGTTTTCTCTGTATTTCAAGTCTTTTACTAGCCTATTACACATCGGGGATTAGGTTGTTATCTAATCTCCTGTTCTCTTTGTATCTCAGGTCTACTAATCTATTGCATAATAGAGATTAGGTCATTATATAAATTTTTGTTCTCTGTAACTCAGGTTTTCTACTAAACTATTGTACAGCAGGGATTATGTCGTTAACTAATATCCCGTTATCTCTTTATTCAGGGCTTCTACTAATATGTTGCTCAGCCAGGATTAGATCGTTACCTAATCACCTCTTCTCTCTGTATCTCAGGTCTTATACTTATATATTGCACACAAGGGATTAGGTCGTTAACTAATCTCCTGTTCTCTCTGTATAATTTAGCAATGATTAGGTTTTAAACTAATCTATTGCACAGCAGGGATTAGGTCGTTAACTAATCTCCTGTTCTCTCTGTATAATTTAGCAATGATTAGGTTTTTAACTAATCTATTACACATCAGGGATTAGGTTGTTAACTAATCTCCTGTTCTCTCTGTATCTCAGGTCTTATACTTATATATTGCACACAAGGGATTAGGTCGTTAACTAATCTCCTGTTCTCTCTGTATAATTTAGCAATGATTAGGTTTTAAACTAATCTATTGCACAGCAGGGATTAGGTCGTTAACTAATCTCCTGTGATCTCTGTATAATTCAGTAATGATTAGCGGGAGAATATTCCTCTGATACAACGTCTCTTGTATCTAACTTACAGGACTCTCAACCCACAGCAGCTGTAGCAGTAGCTGGAACTACTTCTGGGGATCCTAGAGACTCTTCAGGAGCTTCTGTAGAAGCTAATGCATCAGAGGATTCTGTAAACTCACCAGCATCAAGTTCGTTCACAGGATCTCCACTATTTTTGGAAAATTCTCCGATAGATCTACTTTTCAACATTCAACAATCTACATACCTGCTGAGATAGCAAATTCCAGAAATCTTGCAAGGATTATTATAACATAACTTGTCAATGAAATTTGACAACTCTGCATGGAAAACAAATAGGAATATGCGTAATATTAGGGAGAAAGAAATTCAAAAATATGTGTGCATTTTTCCCTTGTATACAAGAGATTAGAATACGTAGATCTTAAAGAGAGAAAAGAAGATATAACAGTCATGGAGAAAAAAATTCACTGCTCTTATTAAAATTTTGTAAAAAAAAAATATTTTGATTGAAAAAAAAAATGTTTTAAAAATATAATTTTAATTTCAATAAGCTTGTTAAAATCGAAACTTAAATAGAAAATTCGTCTTTATTCTATTGATTAAACACCCAACACTGTATCATTTATCTTTTTTTCTTGAAAATGTTGTTTTATTTAGTTCTTAAATATTTAAAAAAAGAGTCACAACCGTTAGGGTTTCTTTTAAGGAAATCAGGGCCCAGACATTCCTCTTTTATCATGGAGGGACACCTAAAACGACAAGAACAGTCCCTTTAAATGCCTGCAACTGACCTCATGCTAGGAGGGACCAGGTTGTATGGAAGAGTTGCTGGAAGAGGTTCTCCTTTCATCCCGAGATCGCAGAGATGCATCGCCAGGATAAACTCCTCGCAGCTCAGTTTGCCGTCCTGTTAACATCAATTATTTTGCTAATTTTATAAAATATAAAGTTGCAAATTATGTTGGTCCGTTTGTATGTCCGATCATAACTCATGATCCCCCAGACCGATTTGCCTCAAATTTTGATTGGGGAACTCGGGAGAGCCACGGGAATTTTCTTAGTTTGGCTTTGAAGACTTTAATAGCAAAAATCAATTTTCCGTTAAAATCGACCAAGTGCGGGTAAACTGCGGGAGTAACTATGAGTAGTTCCTAGGCATGACGCTGGGTTCCCAAGCTAGTATATGAATAAAATTAGCCGAGGACTCCCCCCCCCCCCCCCCCCCTCCCCTCTGCTCCTGGCCACATCCAATGATGATCTTAATCAAGTTTAACATTGAAGTTAAAAGCAGGGAGGTTGTTCTTTTCCATAAGGAGGAGGAGGGAGTGAGGGGCTAAAGAAGCACGAGAGGATGCGGGTGTCAATCCTTTCTCAGGGTGGTACAGCCAGGAAATTATTTAATAATTTTGTCTACTTTTTTACTAACATATATGGCTTCAAATTTGCCGCCCCATTCATCCAATCCTGTTCTAAGAAAAAGAAAACCTTCTTTTCATATCCTAATTTGGAGGAGGAGGGGAGCTTTGTACTAATAAAATTTCGTGAACCGATTACCTTATCAACGTCAGCAAGGTTCCAGACTGTAGCTAGAGTTTGCTGAGCTAAACCGGTTTGCAGTAGCAGTGTCCGGGCCTGTACAGCTGCAAGGAAACCGGTTCTAGCCTTGTCGTTCGTCTGAAACAGTATAAACTACACACATGATAAGGGACTGTCAATGTAATTTTAAGAATTAAATGTCAGATTCGCAACGGTACCCTTTCAATCTTTTTAAATGATCACGGATAAATGAAATATCCTTACTTTTTAACTTAAAATTGATAATTTTCATTTGAATTATGTCTATAGTCCCTTTAATGCTTGCCGAGATGTTCATGGTTTCCAGCATAGTTAGATTAATATTTTCTTTTCAACGTTATAAACTATTTAATACTCAGAAAAGTCCAATTTTTTCATGATGATCACAACTAAGCCTCATTGAATCTACTCAATGTACATTAAATAGCAACTATGGCATTCTATTGTTTATCCTTTTCTTTAATTTCTTTATTTAATTTAAGGTTTCTTCAACTTTACGTGGATTAATGATTTAATAAATATTTTCTTTTTTCCATACATTACAGTTACACCATGAATATTTAGGGTTTCCAGCAAAAGGATAAATCGTTTCGTGAAAATTTCGCATTTTTATACATTTAGTTTGCTCGCAACAAATTTTCTGTTTCGCCAAAGAAATTGAGTTTTGAAAAAAAAAATTTAATTTTCTTCTTATTAAATATTTTTATGAGAGATGAGCTTTCTTATATAAAAGGTGTACGAAGCTTATAAATAGAAAGAGCGCACTATGTAAACCAAGTACACTTGAATTAAATCGAAAAATAATAAGATTTATACGGTGGTAGGCGATTATATCAATATAACAAAGATGACTTTTGATTTCAATTTTGATTTATTTCAAGCTATTAAACATTATGAATACACAAAAACACTTTTTAATTACTTGTAAACTTTCACTTAAAAAAGCTTTAATTAAAACTTTAACAAAAAAGTCGTCTTCATTATATTGACAACACGCCTACCACCTTACATAAACCAGGTTACCTGGAACTGGGACATGTAAGCAACTCTTTTCTGTTGCGGGATCGCCCACTCTACAGCAGCTGGAACTGCTGCTACAGGAGCAGCTCCTCCAGGTAGAACACTGGGCTGGACTCCAGGTACAATAGCCTGCTGCTGACCCATCATACCTTTATGCAAAATTACTTGTTAGCTTTTCATCTTGACTTAAACAAAAATAGTTATAAAGGAAATAAAGTTCCTGGAATTTCGGCGTTGATTGAATGTACCGTACATTTTAAGAGTAACATGTCCTGTTAAAATGGTATTTGAATGGAGTGTCGAAAGAAACTCCGATCCCTTCTGTATCAGATTAAATATAATTAGAAATACAAAGTTAAATTAAATTTGGTTGAAATAGATTTTTTTTTCACCTGACATGCCCGGCATAGTATTGATCGGGGCCATATTCCCTCCCATAGGTCCAGCCATAGAGCTAGCCATACTTCCCATTCCTGGCATCCCTCCTCCCATTCCCATCATCCCGTTGTTCTGCATCATGCCTCCGTGCATTGGCATACCCATACCTCCCTGCATTCCCATACCTCCCTGCATTCCCATTCCAGGCATCATGCCAGGCATCCTCTGCTGTCCCATCATACCCGGCATTCCCATTCCTCCCATTCCTTGCATGCCCTGCATTCCTTGCATTCCTTGCATTCCTTGCATGCCCATCCCTTGCATTCCCATCCCCTGCATGCCAATCCCTGAAAAAAGCAAATTTAACTATTACATAAAAAACAACACCTGCTAGTAACTTTTCAATCTTATCAAAGAACAAAATGATGACGCCTAGTTGTATCTATCTATGTAATTTATAATCAAGGAGTAAGGAATAGAAGGGAGATATAACTGACGCGGTTCGCCCTACCATATGATTATACATGATTTGCAGACGGGTACTCCATTTGTATAAGAAATATTTGTCTGATGTACAATTACCGCGTATACAATAACCTATTTTGAATATTTTTTATACAAATGGAGTACCCGTCTGTAAAGCACGCATGATCATATGGTAGGGCGAACCGCGTCAGTATATCTCCCTTCTATTCCTTACTCCTTGTTTATAATTTTTACGGAAAATATCCCCCCCCCAAGTACTATGGAAAATAATTGGAGACCTTATAGTTTTGAATACTTCTATGACTGTGAAACATAAATCTTGAATATAATAACGTGAAATGGAGATGGGGGGGGGGGGTAATTCAAAAATATTTTTTAAGGATTATTTTTCAAAAAGTTGCTAAGTCTGAAAGATGAATTGAATGTTCACATTATTTCAAAGATTATTGGGACGCCATGAATGCGGTAAATTGTAAAATTCGAATTTTATTCTTTAATCTTGATCAATACTAAACTAATTAAGCGGTGGACTACAGCTAAAATTCTAAATCTAATTTGCTAACCCATATTTTGATCCATGGAGTTCTGCCCAAAGTCTGTGCCAAAAAATAATAATATAGGTAAAAGAAAATAAACAAAGTTTATTTCTTAAAATTATGTCAGTTTTCCTTAAATGATTTTTCGAGTTATCGGGGGGAAAATGAATTTTCAACATTAAAAAAAGTTTTGAAAAATTAAGAAATTTATTTTTAAAAAAGCAAAAAGTTTATTAGTCGATTTATTTTTGAAAATCTTGTTAATTTGTTTGGCTTTGTTGTGCCTCAAATTTTTTTTTTACAAATGATTTTTTTTATTACCTTGCATGCCTGGCTGAATAGGTCTGTGAACTCCTCCAAGGGGTAGTTGGTTAGGAGGCGAGGCAAGTATCTAAAAAAAATTCTTTTAATTTTTATGAAAAAATACATGTTAATCTAAGAAACTAATCGTTACTTTTAAAAATCCCTTTTCTTACTCCCCATTTAAATTCCAGTTCTAATCCTTTCAAATGTACTAATTATTTGTTAATTTTTTTTCTTTCAATTTTCATTAAAAAAACAATGAGCCTTTTTCACAATCCTTTTCATAATTTAAATTTAATTCAATATTGTTTGTATTTTTCTGTGTTTGAAGTAGAACCGGCGTTTGAGAGGATACCGAGAATCAAGACAAAGGCAGAAAATAGTAAGAATTATTTTAATAATAAAGAAATATATAGAACTGTTTAATTAGCATCATCTCAATGGAACTAGATTTAACGATGTCAAGATTTAACAGAAAATGAGTACAACAGAAAATAAATTAAGGATGCCAAGCAGTTAACAGATGCATTAGGGCAAATTTTCTTGTGAATGGGTCTTTAGTATCTTATGTCAGTATAAAATTAACTATAATTATGATATGACTCTTTCATTTTATTTGATATTTTTGAATTAATAAATAATATGATGAGAATATGAAATGATAAATGAATAAATAATAGGATGAGAGGATGAAAGGATAAATGAATAAATAATAGGATGAAAGTATAAATGAAAGGATGATAGGATGAAAGGATGAAGGAATAAATTAATAAATAAATGGATGAGAGGATGAGAGAATGAGGGGATGAAAGGATGAGAGAATGAGGGGATGAAAGGATAAATGAATAAATGAGAGGATGGGGGGATAAAAGGATAAATGAATAAATGAATAAAAGAGAGGATGAAAGGATGAAAAGATAAATGAATCATTGATAACCTGAGGAGGAAGAGTTTTAGGAAGCTCCATTCCCTTTAGTTTAAGGTTTATTAGTTTACAGGCGACAGAGAATTCATTAAAATCCATTTTCCCATCTCCATTCATATCCGACAAACCCCTGCATCGAAAATATAATATGATAAATTGATCATACTTAAAAACGAACCAAAACGATAATCATGAAACAAGTATTAACGATAGAGTATCGAAAAGAGAATATTTGCACTTTTTTGTCCTTTTCTATCTTTGCACATATTTTCTTTTTATCTTATTTAAGAGTAGATGTTTGCTATCTTAGTTTTTTTTAGAACCAAACTGTATGGAATATAATTAAAGATTTAATTTGTAATTAATTATTCATAAATAAAATAAGATAACTTACCCTGCCTCCGTATTTATAGGATCAACCTTAGAACTTACCCTGCCTCTGTATTTATAGAATCAAACTTAGAACTTACCCTGCCTTCGTATTTGTAGAATAATCTTAGAACTTACCCTGCCTCCGTATTTATAGAATCAACCTTAGAACTTACCCTACCTCCGGATTTATAGAATCGAACTTAGAACTTACCCTGCCTCCGGATTTATAGAGTTAAACTTAGAACTTACCCTGCCTCCGTATTTATAGAATCAAACTTAGAACTTACCCTGCCTCTGTATTTATAGAATCAAACTTAGAACTTACCCTGCCTCCGTATTTATAGAATCAAACTTAGAACTTACCCTGCCTCCGGATTTATAGAATCAACTTAGAACTTACCCTGCCTCCGGATTTATAGAGTTAAATTTAGAACTTACCCTGCCTCCGGATTTATAGAATCAACTTAGAACTTACCCTGCCTCCGGATTTATAGAGTTAAAACTTACCCTACCTCCGGATTTATAGAATCGAACTTAGAACTTACCCTGCCTCCGGATTTATAGAGTTAAATTTAGAACTTACCCTGCCTCCGGATTTATAGAATCAACTTAGAACTTACCCTGCCTCCGGATTTATAGAGTTAAACTTAGAACTTACCCTGCCTCCGGATTTATAGAGTTAAACTGCTCCGTATGCCGCATCCGCTCCTGGGGTGTGATCACCCACGGATCCATCATTCTATTCTGCAATTCATGAAATTGATTGATCACAAATTAACATCAATAAATCGATCAATCTATTAATGAAATTATCATAAACATAAATTAATCAATTAATCAAAGACGTCAATTAATCTACTAAAAATTCAATCATTATATCAATCAAGATCAATCGATCATATACATTAATTAATCGATAAATTGATCAGTCAATCATACATCAATTTATAAATCAATTGATCAGTCAATCACATATATCAACTAATCAATCCATCAACCCTATAAATCAATAAATCGATCAACCGGTTCATCAATCATTGAAATCAATGAATATGATTATGTACATCGATTCAAAAACTACTCAAGTGACAGATAGTACTTGAAAATTAATTGAATCGCGATCAATTGAACAGATAAATAAATTGATTTTTTTCCAAATATCCCATTGGATTCTTATAAAAGTTGAAAAATAAATCACAATAACTAATTGGATTCGTATAAAATATCACAGCTGCGCTAATTTCACTTTTCACCATAAAATGAATATTTGAAACTCTCCTGTTTTCTTATTTTCGTTTTACTTCTCGGCTCACTGTAATTATTGGAAACCATTGTTAATAAAAATAAGGCTGAGTCAAATATGTTATTTAAGGTGTTCTAAAAATAATGTTAGCTCATCATCGTCCTGTAAAAAAAATATTAAGCCATGTAATAAAATCTAAGTTTCCATTCCTATTTTCCTGAGAAGCGCCTTCTGCTGAGGGTTTAAGTATTCAGCTATTTCATCTTCCAGGTAGAGAAGTGCTTCACTATCCCTCACTCAAACAGAAAACAAATAAAACCCAATTCACCCTTAAATTCAATACTCAAAACTTTTTAATATTGAATTCCGGGATTAACCAATTATCTGTATCTTGTGCAGTCCTACGGAAAATTGATTCATCAATGAATTACCGTGGTGATCATATCCTAGGGATGCAAACTAAAATCTAATAGTTGAAACAATGCAAGAGAGCAAGCGTTGTAGATAAGCGCCCTTTAAGGAGGGGTGATATAATTATTATATTGTTAACATCTTATAAATGTAAAATAACTAAATATTTTTATTCATACTTTTCTCGTAAAGTGAAACTCTGAAATAAGAAGATGATTTATAGCAATACTAAAGCTGTATTTGATGTTGTTACATAGCAAATAGTTTTACTCGACACTTCTCAGAACACTAATTAAGTGAAATGGGTCTGTTTACACCGTACAGTTGCTGTGTAGGTTCATTTACATTTGCCATAATTACACTTGCCGTAAGTAATACTTGCCATAAGTTACACTTACCATATTGTATTAATGGGAAGTGTAATTATGGCAAGTGTAATTATGGAAAGTGTAATTATGGCAAATGTATTTATGACAAAAGTATTATGGCAAATGTAACTAAGCCGCTCTGTCCCAGGCTCATGGCAAATGTAACTGAGCCGCTCTGTCCCAGGCTCATTGGAATATTTAAAGTTATAACTTTAGTCTATAATTCGTCTTCCTAGTCCAGAGTTTCCTGGTTATCACTGCAAAGCAGTTTAACTCCATTTTTTCTTATTTTACCTTGAACAACCATAACTATAGACTGGAGTAGGATTGAGATATCAGTGTCTAGGTAGGGACATAGCTCAACCTCCTCCTCACCTTCCATTCCATCCCACTTGTACTTATCCAGAACCTATATAGAGTGAGACATCAGTGTCTAGGTAGGGGCACAGCTCAACCTCCTCTTCACCTTTCATTCCATCCCCCTTATACTTAACCAGGACCTATAAAGAGTGAGATATCAGTGTCTAGGTAGGGACACAGCTCAACCTCCTCCTCACCTTCCATTCCATCCCACTTATACTTATCCAGGACCTATATAGAGTGAGATATCAGTGTCTAGGTAGGGACACAGCTCAACCTCCTCTTCACCTTCCATTCCATCCCACTTATACTTATCCAGGACCTATATATAGAGTGAGATATCAGTGTCTAGGTATGGACACAGCTCAACCTCCTCTTCACCTTCCATTCCATCCCACTTATACTTATCCAAGACCTATATAGAGTGAGATATCAGTGTCTAGGTAGGGGCACAGCTCAACCTCCTCTTCACCTTTCATTCCATCCCACTTATACTTAACCAGGACCTATATAGAGTGAGTATATTACTATGGTTAAAGGGAGTGTTCCGCGAGAAATGAAAGGCAGTATAGGCTGATATCAATTCCTACTAGTTTTACCTTTATATGATGCGTGTATAATGAGAAAATGGCCAAAAACGTCTTATACCTAAGACGTTTTTATACCTAATTCACATAGTAGTCGCATTATTCCACTCATCGAAAAATCGTAAATAATGCAATCAAATTTAAAATTTATCATTCAATACCTGGAGTAGATGAGGGGCTGTGTTGTGGTGTGAAGGTTGGATTATCAACAGCAGTAGCACCCTTTTATAAAAATTTATATTAATTTTGTTTTATTTGTTTTTTTTTATTTAAAAGACAAAAAAAATCGTCTTAAAAAATTGATGATTTCTGAAGAGTAAAATTTACATAATGTGTCTTTTTTAATATGTCCACAATTTTTTTCTTTTTCTTAGGATCGAATACATTTTTGTTTATAAAATTGTTACCTTAATACTTCTATATTTGCAAGCTGGGATTGATACAGATGGCAAGGATCGTTGGCTGCGCAAAAATTTGCAAGCTCTGTTAAGGTTTTCAGGGCATTATGGTGATCCCCAAGTGATATATAGCAGTTAGAGATCTAAAAAATTTTAAAAAATTAAAAAATTTGTTAATATTCTAGAAACCTAAAATCGGCATTAATCATATTTATAACAATAAGTTTTCTAACTTAAATGTTTAAAGTTTATAAGCTGATCTTTAGAGGTAATTTTAATTTCTTCTCCATTTATTACATAGCACATCCGATTCACAACGGTGCCATTTAAAGATAAAGAACAAATGAAATTTCCTTGCTTTCAGTCTGTAATAAGTGATTTGCAGATTGCAGAAACAATGAAAAAATTATGAGAAATAAAAACTCAAAGCCTAAAAAAACGACGAAATCTTCCATATTGTTGATCAAATAAAGGTTTAATGGGCACTGTTGGGTAATATTTTAAAGCATTGATAGGAATCTTTGTATTTAAAAGGTCAGCTGAAAATATGTTAAAGGTCACTAGGAAGAACTGGATAATCCCACTGAACATGATATTCAAGAAATTTAATTTCCCTATTTGAATTGCAAGTTATAGAGAGTTCTGAGACTTATAAAATAAATATGTTACAAGATAAAGAATTACATATAAAAAAACTCGATAAAAACTAATTATATTTAGTGGCACACTGTACCTTTGTTTTGATTGCAAGTGTGTCAATGATACTGCTGGTTTCGAGCTCCAGTGCTTTATCATAATGAAAAAGGGCTTCAGCAGAACGTTGCAGGGAAACAAGCGTATCTCCTATCACATTGATTATTAGCATAAAATGGAGGGAATATTAAAATAACGTAAAGAGAGAAGTTTCTTACAACCTGTTGATAGGTAAAAGCTTGTTTTCTAATAATATTTTTGTGTGCATTATTTTGAAGTTTAAAGGAACTGATTAGGCTTAGCTCTCCAGGATTCGGATAATCCTTTCTCTAATAATTGAGCTTGTCGCTTAATACGTAACTTGTGAACGAATCCAGTTACTTACAGAATCTAAGGCCAATAAGTTCTGTTCCGGTTCCCTGTTGATTAATTACCTAGTTCTATATATAAAGCTGCAGCAGCACTTCCCCTTCCTGCTTCCTCTTCAAGCTTTCCTGCTTCCTTAAACCCTGCACATTATTACAGATATATATCCGATTCGTTTAGACATTTTCTAGCTGTTATTTAACTGCAACTTCCTCGCCTAGCTAGCCTGGGAAATTGCAGCTATACTACAGGGTGTCCCACATCAAATTAGAACACGTCAATGGGTCTAAATTACGATTTGGGGGACAAATCAGAAATTTAAAGAATGTATCGTTTAAAAAATTTTAATAAGGCTAATAGAAAATAGCAGAAAATGCTAGATTTTTCGAGTATTATGTGCAAATTTTGGCTTTAAAGATGGGAGATAATCTAATATGATATGGGATGCTCTGTGCAACTAAAAAATGTTTAACAAATAATTCAAGTAGTCAAATAATTCAAAGGGCCAGTAGACGTAATTACAAGTGACCCATCAAGTATAGAGTACCATGTCCGATTCACAATGGTACTCAGCTTTGTCTGGTCAAGTACAAAATATCCATGTTTGAAAAACTAGTTATTTTCAATTGAAGTTTCAAGTAGTCAAATAATTCAAAGGGCCTGTAGACGTAATTGCAAGTGACCCTTCAAGTATAGAGTACCATGTCCGATTCACAATGGTACTCAGCTTTGTCTGGTCGAGTAAAAAATATCCATGTTTGAAAAACTAATTATTTTCAATTGAAGTTTCTCTCTACTGCAGTAAACAAGGTAAATAATAACAGAATTAAAACCTTGTTTAAGGCACTGCTGTGAATTGGGCATGCCAAAACATTTTTTAAGGCTATTCAGCCGAATAAACTTTCTTCATTCTTCGATATAATATTTTTCCTTAGTATTGCGATAAAAAAGTATCGTCACTAAAATAATAATGAGCAAATTGATGGTTTAGGAAATAAAAATATATCTTTCAAAATTATCAAGTGGTAACAATTTGAGTTGTACTTCATCGGAAAGTTGTGATTCTTCACTCTACAACATTTGATTATTTCTTTTTTTATTTATTTTGAGATTTAAATAATATTGTACTAAACAAAACCTTTCTAAAGCAGATGAGACTAGTATGCTGATATTAACAGCTTCTGCACCTGCTATAGCTGCATTAAGATGCTCCTCGTAGCTCGGATTCTTTAGATTTTGCTGCTCCAACTCACAACGTAGGAAGCAGCGAGCAGCCAGGGTTATGGCTTCTACCTTTTATGTTTGTTTTCATTTATTTTTTTTGTAAAACCTTTTCTTATTTTTTTATTAGTGTATACATATGGAATATTAAAATAGATTAATTCTTTCATGTCAAATATATTTATCATTAATATAGTTAATTTTATTTTCACCATTAATTATTATACCTTTAATGTTTTTGTTTTTTCATTCAATTTGTTGTTTGAACTTTCTTATTTGTATAATCTAATTTTTATAATTAATACTATTATTTTTATTAAATACCTCGGCCGATGAGTTGCCAACAGTTTGCTCGCATCGCCCTAAAAATGCATTAGTTTCTCATACAGTACTTGAAAACTATGGAATAGAATGACGACATAATTGCAATAATTGAGTATTAAATATTGTTACAAAGCAACCGGTTCAACTAGTAACTTATTAAATCACTCATTAAGTTAATGGGGTCTATTTATACTGCACAATTATTGTGTCTCAAGGTTCATTAAACTATTTAAGTCAGAACTAGATTCTAAAAGTCGTCCTCCAATTCAAGCATTTTCTGGTTCTATACTGTACTATTTCATATTCATTATTGTCACTAGATAGATGGTAATTTTCTAGAGAACGATTTTTGGACCCCCCCTCCATATCAATTATGTACATGGATATAATAAGTCATGTGGCCGTACCATAATCCTAAGATAATAAAAAAAAGAAATAATAATGATTATGATGAAAAATATGTGGTCATGTTCAAAATTGATAGGAAGGGGGGGGGGTCCATAATCGTTCTCTAGGACAGCCCCAGATAGATAATTGTTTTATAATCATTATCCTAATAATAAAAAATATACAAAACTTTTGGTATTAAATTGTATAATAGTAAATTATCGTCCTAAACTAGGTCAACATTAAACATATTTTTTGACAACTTTCTGTGAAAACTTTAAATTTAGAATGGCGATGGCAAAATCCAACTGAAACATTGTAAAAAATAAAAAATCAACCTGTAGCCAAATAACAAAACCCAGCAAACTGTGGATCATCATTATCTTCAAGCTTCTTGGCCAATTGTCTGAAATAACATAAAAATCAAATTATTGTTCAAATTCTGAATTTTTCAATATTTTAAAATTTTATCTTAAAAATTACCTAAAATGATCACTTGCTTCTGCAACATTTGGTCTTCGTAGAAACCTTTTCTTTAGTTTATTTGAGATATTTCTATATTCTGTCAGAAAATCTTGTCCCTCCATTAATAATAATTATGATCACTGAAATCTTTGAGCTAAAAAGTATAGATAAAAAGCTTTAATTTTTGTTTTGCTCCAGAAATTTTTAAAAAGCTGTTTTGAACGTCATATGATTGAAAACTAGCAGACGAGGGTTAGGGTGTAAATCAATAACTGAATATAACAAAGTTCTGATTGGTTGAATAAATATATATATTTCCTATTGGTTGAAGGGGAATTGCTCTGCCCTCATTGGTCAGGTTTCTACATTAAGCTTAAAAAATGTCGAAACTTCGATTATTAAACTAATTAAAACATTTTTCAAGAAAAAACTTCTTGTGTAAATCTGCCTATCTCAGATAAAGTAAATTACATCATTTATAACATATCAGTATTATCATTTTCGATTAAAATGTATGAAATATCCGAAAATCATAAAAAATTAAGACGACCTCTTCTTTTTGAGAATTGTGCGGCATTTGCGCCTTGCATGGAAATATCGCGAATGTTCCAGAAATAAAGAAAGAACGCCGGGGAGTGATTGCACACATTTTATTAATTGATATATTTTCTTAGTATCCAGCATTAATCTTTGAAATAGATTTAAAAGCATGCATGACGTTTAGTGAAAACCGACGATTTTTAAATTATTATATATATTTCGTCGGTATATTCCTAGAGAACGATTTTTGGACCCCCCCCCAGGCCCCCCCTCCTATCAATTTTGT